GAAAAGTAAATGGTTGCTCAAGCAATTTCGATTTCTCGTTACCAACACGAGGCGAAACTTTCGACCATAAATGACGGCACACCTCTAAGCACACACACCGACAACCAAGCATCTGAACGCACAACTATTTGAACCCTACTGACAGTGTACAGTACATCCAAACATGCACACGCAAAAATAAGCACACACCTGAAGGCACAATTATTGAAAACGCAATTGTAAACGATGAGCAACCATACCGATTTGTTGTTTTTGATTAACCATTCCAATATACAATGTTGTTTCTGGTCACATTGCTACACCATAATGGAATGTTGGGCAGTACAATGCATCAGAGCTGAGTTGCTTTAGTGACTATCTTCGAAAAGTATGATTCATTAAAAAAGTCGTGTTTTTCAGTGATTTTCCTAGAAAGGCTACATTTGGCATAAATCAACTTCAAGAGGCAAGACCCTTTTCCCAATAACGTCCCCTTGGGTCCCTGAAAGAGCCAACTCCCAGAACTGCCATTGTAATGATTTCTCCCTAGTGCAGCCCAATACAATACATTTTGGATTTATCGTCATCATGAGGCATGGTCAATCAACTGCTGGATGAAGGCCTCCCCAAACCAAGTATATACTGTAGCATCTAAATGCAACTCTATCTCAAGACGCTGTAGAGAAACAATGGGCATACTTTTGATTTAAAGCTTTCGTGACTGCAGTAATTCATATTCTTAGTTTTTTCGGTAAAGTCACGTTGAAGAGAAACAACAAAACAACAAAATATATATAAAACAATAAAAAATTCTCACGACGTTTCGACCATAACTCAAACGGTCATCATCAGGTGTATGATGACCGTTTGAGTTATGGTCGAAACGTCGTGAGAATTTTTTATTGTTTTATATATATTTTGTTGTTTTGTTGTTTCTCTTCAACGTGACTTTACCGAAAAAACTAAGAATGGGCATACTTGTTTTGCGATGTATCGTTCTGTTGTTGTCATGCCCTCATTTAAATTTGAAATAGGTTTTTGTATTTGCCAAAAGTCACAAGGATTGCACCTACCTTTTTATTACAGTAAGGTTGTTGTAAATATCCATCCCCCACACTCAAATAATGAACGGGTGTAATTTAGGTAAGAAAGTGTCCAGGCAAAAACAATCTGTTAACAGAACTTTATTGGTGCCATGTGGCTAATGAAAACCCTAAAAAACACATTCAATATTTTTTACATCCTATAAACCGATCAACTTAAATGTTTTATTAATCTAATTTGATTCGGATATTAAAAGTGTGCTAACATCCGTATAGCACAGAACTGCGTTTCCTATCTAAATATCTCCAGAATTATCATCATCATCATCATCAGCCATGATCAATCCACTGCTGGATGAACGCCTCCATAAGCCCACTGCCATCTCCCACGATCGAGTGATGCGACCATGTCCCGAGCACCTGCACACAAGCGGATTTGTCTCCAGACTATCAATACAATTTAGGATCCAGGTGAAGGTCGGAGGCCCGTACATTACATGACCCTCGTGTGACCTCTGTGTTTGGAAAAGGCACCCCCATTACAATGCTATAATTACCTTTCAACATAATTGACCACATGCCCGTTTCAATAACAACAAATTAAATAATGTTGTACAAAATGTTAAAAGGTGTTCTTCTGATTTAAGAAATGCGTGCCTAATGGATACATTTAAAAAAAAATCAAAATATTGACAATGCCTTGAAGGAAAATGTAAGAGAAAAACAATAGTCGTATTTGTTGGTCGTCCGAAGCCACCAACTTGGCATGCTAAAATAGTTTAACACGTAGGCTTTCGCGACCAATATTATTCATAATAAAGGTTTGTTGGGTTAGATGGCGTTAACCAAAAAACCTTTATTATGCATGCTAAAATAGACTGCAAAGACTCAGCACCTTTGTTGATGCTGTATAATCCCCTTGGAATGCGATAGGGCCTACATTAGCCTTCATGCCACCGCCTATGTAAACACATTTTGAAACAAATCTCCACAAAGAATCCCAGGTTATATGCAGGATCCATACGCAGATGTCCACAGAAATAAAACATGTTTCAGTACATTATTATTGGACTTGCTTCTGTGGTGGCACAATGGTTTTTAGCGGAGTCCACTTTAAACCAGACCATCTGAGTTTAACTCTAAGCCACGGCTCTGAACATCTATGGCGAAGTGATTGATATCTGAACCAGTCTGCCCCCCCACCCCCCCCCAATACCTTCGCCATCCTGCAAAACGAGTGTGGTGAATATTGGCCAACGGCCCTCAAGACCGAGAGGCAAGGGGAGGCTTTCATCTTGCGGTGCTGAGGGAAAGGCCTGTACATTGTCATAACATATGGTTATGAATGGCAACCACATTTGTTTGCAACATTTATACATGAACCGCTTGGGGAAAAAAACTGTCTAAAGCGAGTGGCTAACAACACAAGAAGAGAAGATGTGGCCATCAACACAATTTTACACAAGTCTAGCGACTTTTTTTTTTGCAGTGATACACGTGCACAAACAAAAATAACACTTGTTGACATCACTGCTTAACAACAACAAAAACATAAATAAAGCTGATGTTTTGGAAATAGATTTTCTTCAGAGAAGACAGATCGACTGACTATTTATTGGAGATCACGCTTTATACAATGTATGGACTGGATAAAACTAGGACGTTATAAAGAAGTTTACATTCGAATTACTTTGAATTCACAGGAGCAGTTGTCCATCACAGCGATACGTTCTCCATTTACTCTGTTACTTAATTTTTGATACCAATGTTCACCCGAGTCATTCTTGCAGTGGCCCACACCAAGACTGCGATGCAATGGTCCGTCAGTATGCACGGCCATTCACCAGAATCCACTCGCCCGTGACATCGTGCGCGTGTTCACGATGTGACTAGGGTACATGCGCGTACTCACGAGGTGACTAAGGTCGCGTGAAACTGATGGGAGCTGAAAAACCCACCCATCCTCTCTCGGTGACTCGATAACATCGTCACAATTCAAGAATAAAAATGTGTTTTTGTTGTTGTAATATGGTGACCTGTAGTGGCCTCGAGTGGCTGAGAGGATCACATTAACCCATTGTAAGAAACCTCAACTTCATCTGCCATGATCTATCCACTGCTGTATGAAGGCCTCCCCGAGGCGTCACCCTCGCTCGCGTTCTGTCCATGCAACCAATGTCGCACCTGCGCACGCCCCAAACTTAACAACAAAACGCATCGATCCTGACACGATTTGATGGTGCACGTATCTGAAGAATGTACATGTAATCAATGAATCGATGCACCGCTGCCTGCGCCGTTTGCAAAACATTGCCAAAATCCAGAGATAATTAAACAGGAGACAGACATTCATTTGGGAGTCTCATTCATTTGCAAGGAGCTTGGTAATTCCAACCCACTTGGGGGTGGGCGGATTACAGTTTGTACTTTGTTGGGAATAGCTTGGGGGGGGGGGGAGAGTGGACATCGGGTGGGACGAGTGAGGGGGATGGGGTAGCCACAGACAAAAAAAACAACCCAACTCCCCCCTCGCTATCCCAAAAAAATCTCATCAATGGCCACAACCACTGCTGCTGCTGTTGCTGCTGCTCACGCGAAGACCATATGCTGAACCCACAAACGTGTCAGCACTGCCCCGCGAATCATTATTGAGGGAAAAAGAATGTGCAGAATTACAAAGCATGCGTATTGTTTGTTTTAAAACAAATTGCGTAAACACGGAGAGGAAATAGTTTGGGTTGAAATTGTCTGTGCGCTGCGTGCTGGCTGTGGTCTGGTATGTCAAGTCGCTTACCTCAAACGGGCTCTTTTTATCTGTTATCAATAAACAGACCTCCTCAAATATGTAATTAATGTTCCGTTGCTACCCAAATCGCTTCCGACCTTTTACGGCACGGAGTATAATTATTTTCCGCTTTTGTGTTTAAGTAGCAAAAGAAGACTAATGTGCTGAGTCTGTGAAAGTTAGAGTGTGGGTGTAGGCAAGTTTTAATGCAACCCACAGCAAAAAAAACCTCTCAACAAAGGACACCAAGGCTTTGGTTTACCTGCTGGAGAGAAGGGTTTGAATTTCACACTTGTTTTTCACTCCATTAGGTCATATCCTCGCTTTGTTTATCTGTCGGTTTTGGATTACTTGTATATGTGTGCACGTTTTCGTTCAAAAATGCAGCAATCTCACTCCACACACACACGTACGCGTGTGTATATAGGATGTTGAACTTCTTTCGCACCGTACGTAACCAAACCGTGCGAATCGGAGTTACGGGGAGGACGTACAACAAACGAAACACAAACAGCGGTTCTAAAGAAGTGAGTTTTTTTCAATATAGATACAAACACAAGCGTGTGGGCCCAGGCAGATCACCGTTCAACCAAAACCGCCAAGCTGCATGCCGTTTGCAACAAAAAAGCTTTTCCTCTGGCCGGTGACGTCTCCCAATCAACTTGTTGGGGACGTTTGTAAAGTGAGATCCCCCGTATAGCCTGCACAGACTGTTGGGGCAAGCGCTGTTTGCGAGCACCTAATGAAGGCCGCCACGGCACACGACAGGGGTGGGTGGCCAGCACCACGCCCGGCCGCCTTTGTCTCCCTAATGGCGATTTTTACCCTTATCACCAGATACTAATTTGAGGCCGAGTCGACCTAGGGGAGGCCCACACAAAAAAACACGTGGAACCATCCAGGTACGTACAATGCGGATGTTTTTTTTTGTTGTTGTTGGCATGGCAAGTGCAATGCTGTAACAAGTGGAAGCAATGCACATACACACGCGCGCACATACACACACACGCACATATACACACACGCGCACATATACACACACGCACACATACACACACACGCACATATACACACACGCACACATACACACACGCGCGCACATACACATACACAGGCGCGCGCGTACCTCGTCTGGACAAAGACAATCAGGCGCAACACGAAGCGACGAACGAAGAGTTTCAAAGGCAACTCACCTTTTCCCTTTTCCATCACAGCCCCTCGGCTCGTGCCTGTCTCCGACGGCCGGAGAGCTCTGTCCTCTCACTCACTCACGCTGCCACTCTCTCTACGCGTGGCTCTCCTTCACTCCAAGGAGTCAGCGGGATAGGGAGAGGCTGGGCTAAGCCGCTTTGGGGAGGGGCAGGGTTAGTCGTGGTGGTGGTGGATGGAGGCTTTGGCCGTTCTGGGGAGGGGAGTGCTCGCGAGGGTAGGGCAAGGAAAGGCAGTCTCACCACGAGTTGCCTTGAGCTCGACACACACCCGGGAGCTAGGGACATGTGGCAATGGATCGCGTCAGCCACAGGTTATTCCACTTAATCGCAGCTTCGCCGTGGAGGGATCTCTTAAGTCTGGTATTCCCGAAACGGCCACCAACTCCCCCCCCCCAACTCGCCCCCCCCCCCACCAACTCGCCCCCCCCACCAACTCCCTCCCCCCCACCAACTCCCCCCCCCACCAACTCCCTCCCCCCCACCAACTCCATCCCCATCAACTCCCCCCCCCCCACCAACTCCCCCCCCCACCAACTCTCCCCCCCACCAACTCGCCCCCCCCACCAACTCGCCCCCCCACCCACCAACTCCCTCCCCCCCACCAACTCCCCCCCACCAACTCGCCCCCCCCCCACCAACTCCCTCCCCCCCACCAACTCCCCCCCCACCAACTCCCCCCCCACCAATTCCCCCCCCCACCAACTCCCCCCCCACCAACTCGCCCCCCCCCACCAACTCCCTCCCCCCCACCAACTCCCCCCCCACCAACTCCCCCCCACCAATTCCCCCCCCCCACCAACTCCCCCCTCCCACCAACTCGCCCCCCCCACCAAGTTCCTCTCCCCCACCAACTCCCCCCCCACCAACTCCCCGCCCGCCACCAATTTTCCCCCCACCAACTCCCCCACCAACTCCCCATACCCGAGGGCCCGACTCTATATGACAGCGACTTATACAAGGCGATCCACTTATAGACACCCCACCGATTACTAATTTACCCGAGCAAATCAGAGCGGCTTTGTTAGACAAAAAGTGAATTAGAACAGAGGTTTTTTTTTTTTCCAAGATGTAATAATTGCATTGATATTGGTGGAAGATATGTTTGCATTTTCGAGGCGATGCAATAACACGTTTACCCTAGAACATCTCTCCTGTTATCTGGGTGTGTTATCTATAAAAGGATCACCCTGTCACAAAGCCTTCTTGTCTGATATCACCAAATCTCTCACAGGAATGCGCGCCCAGTCTCGTAGGATCTCGCAAGCTAAGCAGTTTGCAGCCTGGATGTTGCTCTTGTTGTTGCTGTCGTTGTTGCAGACCGTTACGTGTTGTGCGGGCAGAGGGACAGTGCGGCAAAAATCCATTGTACCCTACGTCTATGCGCCCATGCCTTCGCTAAGTCGAACTGACTGGCGCCGAGAAGTTATGATCGACTCCTGATCCACCCATGATGTAACCACGACCCGCACGGGCAATGGCAATGACAAAAGGGGCGGCTGTACACGCACGCGGCAACTGTGTCATCGCATTTAAAGGTCACGTCGATGCTCGGGATCTTCTCTTCTCTCGAACTTGAATCGTTTTCCTCGTGCGTTTGCGCACGCGCGTGGAAAAGTAGACCAATGCCCTCTTAAGCGGTGTTCCCTCTGGTGGAGGCCCTCCACCAGAAATTGCAGGGCTGCGCCTCTAACTGATGCTATTAATCCTAGTTACCATTTTTTTTTTAAAGAAAAACCGCTGGGGTACATCAGCCGGTTGGCTTCCACGAGCGCCGCTAACTCTCCAGCAGTATTTGTTTGCGCAATCAAACTATGGGGCCGGTGTCAACAGTCTGACTCTCATCAGCAAAGTCACGCTTGTTGTTATTGTGATGTTTACTTCATTCTCGCTGCGTAGGCATATTGGCAATGTGTCACAGAGAAAAGTCGAAACAAATGACTAAATGTGCAGTGGACACCTACGGGCTATCTGTCCGCGTTCCGTGATGATGATGATAATGATGAACAGGCATGTCAGATCTGTGATACCGGATAGCGTCTTTGAGTGTACGGAGTTCTCCGCTGTGTTTTCGAGGGTTGCAAACCACACGAGGGGCATAGGTAGTGTGACGAAATTCACTTCTCTGATGGCGTTGCTCTTTGCAGTGCGTGGCTTTGGCCTATTAACGATATCCAACGAGGGTCGAAAGCACGGATTTATCTGCGTCCATCTGTCTGTCCGTCTGTCACGGGAGGGAGCGGTCTAATGTCGCACGGGTAAAGATGAATCAATGTGAAGGAATCTCAAGTTAAGGTGTGCTACAATTATGGATTTACCCTATTGCAACCTGGCCAAATTTGTCATTCGGTCTAAAAACGCAGCCACCCACAGCTCCGTCTCTCATGGCGGTTGTCAAGGGGGCCCCAAAAGGCACCCCCTGACCCCACGCTACTGCCACTCTTCATTTCAACCACGACCACCATCCTATGCACAATTTAATAAATGTTGTCAAGCGCCTTGGAATAAGGCGCTAAATACATCTGTATAAGATACGGTCGGCTGCACACGGAACTTGCTGAGCAGGACGCATGCCCATGCTACGGCAGGTGGAAGGCAGGAAGATTTTCTAATTTTTTTTGTATTATGCACTCCTATCGCGGTTTTTGTATTGTTTGCTGTTGTAGCTTGCGGACCCGCACGTACTGCATATCTGTGGGAAAAAAACCTCAGAGCTCATTCCTCCTACAGTCTAAAAACAGATTCTCAGGCGATGAGCAATTGATTCTCAATGTCTCCGGAGAGACCATTCCATGCGTCACCTTGACATGGGACACCACGGTGGCTAGGAGATGTTAACTACCTCGCCTGGTATGCATGCGGTTGTGGGTTCGATCCCGGCGCTGACGCCTGCTGCTGTACTGTATATTTGGGGTTTGCGGTGTCTCTCCCTGTAGTCGCGTGGATTTTTCTCCGGGTCCTCCGGTTTTTCCCCCCTCCACATTTAAAAAGATGCGTTTAGAGTGTCTGGCTCACTGGCTGCTAAACATCTCCACATGATGATAAGCCACTTGGATGAGCTATCATTTGTGGCCAGGTCGCTTCTGAAAAAGAGCTATAGAGCTTAGCGGGTTTTACCTGGTAAAATAATAAAATATTTCTAAATTTTGATTAAAATTTTCTTGCTGTGGTTTTCACACCTGATGATGATTGCTTGTGTTGCAGTCGAAACGTCGTGAGCATTTTATTGTTTTATATTTTTATTATTTTATTGTTTCCCTTCTACGTGACTTTACCGAAAGAACCAAGAATAAAAATATTTCTAGTTTTACGATACAGGTTCTAGCTACGATATGCATTACCTCATTGTGTCGGCAGACGGAGTATTATGGCAGGCACCAACGAGGATAAGCTATCAGCCAAACTCAGCATCCATGAGTCAACAGCCACCACAAGACAGCTTGTTTTCGTAATTTATTGATTGGCTTCATTGGCTTCATATCGTAAAATCCCTTTGGCAAAAAGTTTCCAAGTGATTCATTACAGCGTGATTCAGACTTAATAAACACACCGCCTTAAGGGTGACACCACAGGCTGTCAAAGCATGCAAAAACAAGATCAAAACAAGACGTGCAAAAACACAGGTGACAAGAGACAAACGCACATCATCACAATCTAACAGTGGCTACAGATGTAATCAACAGCAGCCGTCATCTATCCACTGCTAGATGAAAGCCTCCCCAAGACGCCGCCATCCTTCGCGGATGCTGCGACGCAACAAGCCATCTAGTATCCGCACCAAAAAAAAATCAGGCTTCATGGCTCCATCTCTACTATGGATGTACTCTAGGGCGCGTAAGTTCCTCTCGCTGGCACTCAGTCTTTAGTCCCCTCTAGTTAACGTGTCCAACCCAAGCCCACTTCATATGACGACTAGCTTTACTACCCGGCTTCGCCCGGGACTTGGATTCACGACGCCCGGCCGCCTTTGTCCCCCCAGTGGCGATGTTCACACACCAGTACCCTCGTTTGCGGCTGAACCGACCTAGGGGAGGCCCAGGACCGGTTCAAATAATCGTCACCGGTGGTAACCGTGAGCGGGAATCGAACTCGGGTCGCCGGGTTCGTAGCGCGGCGCGCTAACCACTACGCTACAATGCGTTACGCTTCCACATGCGCGGGTCACGTGACAGATTTGACGTCACAGCTCACTTGCCGTGCAAAAAAAATATGCATTATTGAGCTCCCCCCCCCCCCAAGCAAAAAAATGTGTGTTTTATAATTTTTACATGGTGTACAGTCTGGAAAGTACCCACACGGCAAATTTCAAGTTTTTTGCATGTCGGGAAGTACGCTAAACATTTTGAACAGACACACATAATCACAACTTTGCCTTTTATATATATGGAGATGTCTCTAAACCTGCGTCTGTTTGTCTCGAACACGCTCGCCCGACTCGGCGTGCAGCCGCCGCGACCCTCACCGGGACAAGCGGATTGAGAAACGAACGAACCAACGTTTGCATGCGCCTGAAACATCGGTTGAAACGGGTGCCGATTTTGAAATTACATTGGTCCCGAAGGCCCATTGGCTGAAGAACCTAAATGTAATTTGTTGGTGGTGAAACGTAGCATTTGTATAGCTGTGTATTTATGTATTGCCTGTAACCAACCAAGGCGTTGCATTACACAATTCCCTCGAGATTATCCGAAATTGAGGATGACACGTTGACAAACACGCCGAGGCATATGTATACATTGTACATGCAAGTACAATACTCTTGGGCAGAAGTAAATATTTGGCAATCAGTGGGCGACGTCGACTTTAGTATCTCCAGTACTTATAAACGAGTGACTTTTGAAGCATTGTAGGACGACATTAAGCACCGCCACCGCACGGCAAGTCGCCGTTTAATAAACGACGCACACAAACAGCCTCGTTGGCATATCCACTGCAGCAGTGGTTCAATAACCCGGGGTGCATGCAACTCCCTGGGGGTGCGAGATACTCTTTCTGCTGGGGGGGGGGGGTGCGAGACATTGCCAGATTTATTTTTTTCGAAGCTAAATCATCGAACAAACTAATTAAGCACGTGGACGTCAGTACAATTACTTTGTTTCATCAAACCCTCTATGTATTTATTCTCATTATACAAAAATGTAACGATTGAGAAGCAATTAGGTGCAAGGCTGCAATAAAGGTCAAGCATCACTGCACTACAGCTATGCCAGGCGCAGCTATTCCAACACATCCTTGCGTCACTCAGGAGTAGCTTTGTTACTACCATGAGCTGTTGAAACTCTGCATACGCGAGCACCGGGAGCTGTGTAATAACAAGCACAAGCCCACACCCTCGGCTAATGGAGGGCGTGTGACAAACCATACATCCCGAGCTTACGTGATCACACCCTGGCAGCTTTTAAAACCGAAGGATTAAAAGCAAAGTGTGTGGTGAAGTTATTCGCCTACATTCAAACGCACGTTACGCACGTTTGAACGTACGTTTCACACGGTAGCAGCACCAATTGTATTTTTTTCCTTGATAGTGCCACGTGGGGGGTAAAAAAAACCGAAAACAAATTAAATATGAATCACTCACTGCTAAAAATAAGGACGACGTCTTTTGACAGCCCCTACAAAAAACCACAATGCCAAAAGATGAGCAGTGGAAACAGCTCAAAAAGTGTGACACGCAGGCAACGCCAAGCTGCCACGTGCCTCATGCAAACCACTGGCAACAGAAGAAAAAAAATATACGAAGCAAAGTGACTCCAGCTGAAGCTATGGCGTCGGTCAGTTTCATCATCAGCCATGATCTATCCACTGTCGGATAGCTGTCTCGCCAGGGTGTGGCCACCTTTCGTGGCGTGCGATGGAGCAATCCACCTGGCTGCTGGACACGAGCTTGATGATAGCTCCCACTGTGCGTCACAGTGAACATTGCGTATTTAACAGAAGTTGTCCAATCCATGCGTCCCCTTCTCTCTCAGAATAATTCCGAGCGTGCACCTCTCCACGCTTTTTTTGTTTGTTGAGAATTTTACAACTTTTGTTTATTTTCTATCTCTCTCTCTCTCCGATCCATGCCCACGTTTATTTTTTTTGATCCATGATCATAGCACCTAATAGGCATCGGTCGTAAACGTCTCTTCTTCAGCCGGTTACCCGAAAACTCAAGCCGTGAGAAACACAGAGCCAAACGACGAGTGGCCACGTGACAGCCAACGGTTAAGTAACTCAAACCACACCACACACACACACAGAAATTGTCATTGGGACCTTTTTGCCAGGATCAAAGTATAAACAAATAAAAATGTGTTTGCCCTTTCTGACAATACAACAGTTGCGTTAAGATGTTCAAAAACCAAATAGAAACCTTTTGCAAGGAATCAAGTCTGCATTAACCACACACGGTACTTGTGGTAAGCATGCAAACAACCTTCTTATTTTTCATAAAGAGAAAGTGTGGTTTGCGCAGAGACTGGCTGTCACTCGAACCGTGACATGACGGGGCAAATTCAAACTTGAATCAGTACAACGGACAGCTGACAGCGACTTCAACCACGACGCCGATATTACACCAAGTAGCTTGCAATCCCTCGCGGTCCTGCGAAATAACAATCCATGACAGTGGTCTTCATTGCAAGGCCCGTGGGCCACTGGCGTCCCCTGGTGGTCTTTAGTGCGGCCCCCGACAATACACAAAATTATGAAAACACCTCCCATCATCATCATGATCGTGCTGTCAAACCCCAATGGTTTCAAATGTGTGGCGAGCACCGATCCATACGGCACACGAGCTGGTTTCATTGCTGTCTCGGCAGTGGTCATCCTTTTGCGCTTGTACCCCGTCTCTGGCTGCCAGTCTGTTACTAGTCTCGTCCACCAGCCATCGCACCTTCTCACGTCCACTTAATATTTCTTCGCAGCAGTCGGTGTGATGTCCCCCTAATGTGCGTAACGTTCTGAGATGCACGCGTCCCCGTGTCTCGGAGCCTCATTTGGAATCCCAAGCGGCCACCACTTCATGCGCTTCTATGCACGTGTTGCAACGTTTGCTCCGTTTTCTTGATCAATCTGCATCGCGTATCTCTGATCCGTGTCTTGGCAAGGAAATATAAAATAATCATTAATAATGAAAAGCGACATACCGTTGTGACCCAAAGAAGCATGTTTTAATTCGCGTATGTTACCCGCAGTGACACACTTGCACAACTATAAATACATGAACACCCACGTAGCATCGGTGCTTAATGCTAACTTTCCTTTTATTGTTGTCGCAGATCCAAGCCGTTGCAAAACAAAAAGTGAAATTACAGAGTTTGAGACAAATCAACTAATTGTTCAGTCACTTTAGATACGTTTGCAAATACAGTTACCGTACGTATAGAAGTCTGGCAAACGAAACGGAAAAACCAACAATTTTAAATGTATTTCTTTTAGAATATACAATACGAACAATTCATGCTAGCATGTACAGCAGAGCTAAAATATAATGTAATCCACTTCTAAACATCTGAACGTAAGACAGCATAATTCTCCTAGTTTGTATGGGTTTACGAACAGCTTTAGTGTAAACCACCTTGGCTTTGCTATTATTCATGTAATCATGCCCTCACAGCCAGCACTGCAATCGAGATGCTACGGTTGATCAACAGAGACATCAAAGATCATTTGCAGTGGAGAAAAGGATCGTCATTATGCATACGCCATCTCCAAACGAATTGATAACCGTACACATCAAATGGAAAATGCTTCATTTAGGCTGAAGCGTTGGTTAATGCAAATCATCATGCTATGGCAGGCATTGCGAAACATTTTTGTTTAAAGGGAAATGCCCAGTGTGGCTTATATTTTTCTCGTTATTAGATTTTCCACTGGTATACATCGGAAATTCATTTTTGCATTGAAATTAATCAAAAGCCCCGATGATATACAGAACGTGATTAAGTGGTTTCTTGCCAAATTGAGTGTGAGGTGGGAACCAATCTCCCCATTTACAGCCCTCACTTAACCAGAGGTGGGAATTTCACATTTCTCATTCAGGGACGAGGTCCCGCCCAAGGACACCCACTGTTGACTTGCCCATAAGGTAGTCCAGAACTAGATCAGATCCCGCAGGGATGGATGATTGAAACGCCACACCGTATAGTGTACACATCAATCGCGTTAAACTGAATTCAATCCGATTCATACTTAACCACTTTATACTTGGCATCAGAAATCTGCGTTTGCACTTTCATCCAAAATAAACTGTAAGGTTGTGTACTATAGGGACCCAGCAGTATTTATGTATCCGTTCCTCAACATTAAGATGCAATTAAAAATGTGTATTCAAATTGTACATTTAAAACAGTACATATGGACAAGAATGACCGACTTTGCAACAAAGCTACTATAATGTCAATATGTATTCGCTACGTGTGTATGTGTAGCCTGTTTCAAGCTGGCCTTGTCAAACAGCATTATCATCGCAATTACAAAAAGAAATATCATTACAAGTGTAAATCTAGATAACTTGTGAAATATGATAGAGTTCAACCCAAAATATGTATATGTAACAAACGTTTGCAATTTCCAAAGTAAATTCAACACACTCAGGTATAATTAAACGAGTTTTTTTTTTACACGTGCTGCAAACTTCTAAATGAAATTATTCAAAGGCCTTAAACAGCAAGATAAACACCCTTCTTTGTTTGCATGCTTGTCTAACGACAGCATAGTGCGAGCGTGCGGTGCTCCAGATAAGTTGCATGCCGGGCATTTTTTTACGGATACAAAAAATACATATTAATTATGCATTATAACAAATAATATGCATCGCAAACTTTGCACACGCACTTCTAACTCGCATGACAGAAACAGCGTGGAGGAGCGGTCATGTGATCCTTGGGTTCCTTGAAGAGACGTTCGGTAACTTACCCGGGCTAAACTGCACTTACGCAGTTTTCATTTATTTTGGAGTAAAAAAAAATAATAACTGAGGATTCCTTTCTTTCTTCCTCCGTATTGTGGGCTGTTATCGTAAGACCAAATTGAAGTACAAGGGCAAAGCAAAAAAAAAACATTACAGTGAGCATACAAGGTTCTACTTCACGCATAACCCCATAAGTGAGCATTAAAGATTCTACTTTTTAACATTTCAAAATTTAAGGGGAAATTACTCGGAGATCCACAACCTTATCTGGAGCGCTGGCGGTGCTGATCTTATTTTAAAAGGCTTTGGAATCAGACAGACAACGCATTAGAGTAAAGGTCGAATGTAGCACAGAGCTCGGATACCGTAAGCGAGGAACTTAAGTAAAAAATCGCCTTAATAAATTGTCCACTGGCTGAGCGAGCAGGCACCCATCCTCTTTCTATTACACGCATTCAGCAAATCTCCTTCTCTATTTGTCAAAATCTGCACGAGCGTTATTGCAATAACTCAGAGCTGCTCTGCTTTCGGACTGCTTTACTGTGGTTTGTGCCATAATCTGCCCGACATCTGCCGTGTCATACTGAACTGCCCTTCAAGCCAATCATGGACCAAGCTAAAAAAAAGCGACGTTTTACACCGATGTTAACGTGTATTTTGTTTAAATATGTATGTGCACAGTTTCGAATGTACGCGTAGTGTCGAGATGATTTTGATCCCGTTATATTTTAAGCTGGCCGATATGTAAGAATGTGTGCCTGTGTATATATACCGGGACTTACGCACATACGTAAATAAATTACTCAATAAAAACGGTGACAATCGCGTAAGTTAATGCGTTCCTCGACTGGTAGTAGGTGCTGTGCAGTACGACGCATTGTATATGCTCATACCTAGCTTTTTCTACCACAGGTATGTACACGGACTAGTGTTATCTATAATAAATATGGTGTACTATATCACCAGCAATATTTAAATATTTCAATAGTACATATACGAAAAACAAGTCCTCGTGTCCTAAGCATCCGGATTAATGAATGTTTTCCAGTGCAGGAACTGTATTTAAGTGCTTTGTTTATGGAAAACAAAACCCAAAACCAACATAAAAATTTTCAGTAATTCCTCTGTTAAATTGTTACGCACGGGTGCCACTTTAATGTGAGTTTTACGCACCTCGAAAAAAAGCGAAGACACACCCGTTAAATCTACGTCCTATCTAAAACGTCGCAGCTCTCTTTCACAAGGTTACATCTCGACGCCACGCATCTACATAATGTATGCCCCATTACCGCCCCCCCCCCTCCCCCATTAAAGCAGCGGAGAGACGGTGGCAACTTTACTTCATTGGCCACATGAGCTCGAGCCACCTTCACATTGGTCACAGTTGGGCACTGGTCGGGGCCTCGTGCCGATGACACGCGCACCCCACCCCCCCTCCCCTTATTCTCCCTTTCTCACTCGTCTCGCAACACTGACGGTAGCACCGACTGCCGGCGAGAGCGGCGAAGGGAACGCCGTTGTCGGATTCAGACTCGGCCGTTCGGGTGGCTCAACGTTGAGCCGCGTCGCGTGGCGGATGAAGCCGCGCCCGTGTTTCCCCACAAACGCTGCCACAAACGTCGAGACGTCCACTCCTTATCAGACCGACCGCCAAGGCAGCGCCGGTGCCACGGGGCCGCAACCCACGTTAGCCCCGCAATTTGGTCTGGATCCAAAAGTCGGCCACAAAGAGGTGGTGCGGAAAACGCGGCTCGGGACGTGTTCGCGAGGAAATCGTTTGGGAGGCCGGTAGAATTCGCCCGTGCGATGGCATCCCGCCTCTGTCCAGTCACATTTCTAAGACATCATGACCCTGCTCCTGACCGCAAATGTTCCCTGTGCTAGGAGGTGTGTGGCTGCAAGGTGATTAAGGTTTATGCGCTTGATGTTGTTTTCGCATTGACAGTCAATTTGAAAACAATAGTGCATGGAAGAATTAATCCTTCCATTCTTATTTGGCCACATCTTTACATAATATTTAGTGCAGGGCATTCGAAACTTCACCACTGACTTTCCCATTTTCTCCATCCGCCTGCGGGTCACGACGACTCCATCTTCACATTCACGAGGACAGCGTTGCTTTTTGAGCCGATTTGGCTTTATCGGCTACAGCTTCGCGCAGAATTGCAAACGTAAAGACAAAAGATCGAGCCGTGAAATGGATCCTCTCGGTCCCATTGCCTGCAGCCTTCACTTGGGCTTAACGCCATTAGTGCGTGCTGTTGGCAAGATAATGTGCCGTCTAATACAATAGCCTTAACCAGCCCTTGAAAGAAATGTATAAGCTCTATAACAATTGAAGGAATATGAATTTCTTCACAATAGAATGAACACTGGCAAAAAAAGAGTATGACTAAGTAAATTAATTTGGAAGTGTACATGCATAACTCATTAAATTTTCTTCAAAATGACACAATGCTCATTAGAAGTCCAAATGAACAGGTTCTTCTGTTAGTAGTTCAAATATATTTTATATAGCTACAGGTCTTTTTAATATATATAAAGTAAAGGCATCCAAGCTGATGTTCCATTAAGGAGGAAAGAGGAAAATAATAAGTGTGACATCAACCCAGTGTTACGTGTACAAATGTTAAAAGTTAACACATACAAATGAACTCCAAGGTACGAAACAATGTAGCCATTTAAAATTATCTTAAGTATCGTTATAATACACCTTGATGAGAATCCACTGGTGACCTGTACAATTTGCTAAATTTTGAACAGTCCATCAAAGACGTGTGTGGTTGCCCCTCTTTCTCTCTAAAAGTGGATTTTCTCCATGCATCTCATTTCGAGCCGGATTGTTTTCGCAAATTCAAAAGAGCCTAAGCCTCCTCTTCATCTCGTTCTTCTTCCACAGGGGCAGGCGATCAAACTCTTGTATGCTCATCCCAAACAGCCGGTAGAATTCTTCTGGAGACAAGTGGCGCTGAGGCGACATCGAGGGGGGGGGGGGGTACACACGGTTATTTAACAAACAAAAAAAACATTCATAAAAACGGACTGTTGACAAATAGGGGTGGGAACAATGCATTGACCATCCTTGTTTCTGAACCCCATGATACAGTCACAGAATGGCCCGTCTGATACGTATGCCACGCGCGACGAATTGAGATCGCCCGTGCAGCCGCGAGTTGCGGCACCTGCCATTCACCGCAACGTTGAAAAATGGAATCAACGCTCGAGTTCAATTGCAACCCCGAAGTGCGACAATTCAGCGAATCACAGGGAGGAGAACGGTTCCACCTCTCGTGACAATTGTACCGGTGTACAACTGCAGTGGCATAGCGCTGGCTGCTGGCAAAAAAGGGGATCTGCGGCGTACGGCAGTCCTGACGTCAGCAGGCCACGATATACACGAGAGGAGCATCAAGGGGAAAGGTCACAGAAGGGGCCCACCCGGAACCCGCTGGTAGGTTCCAGAAAGGGGGCGTGGCCAGGGCGGAGCCAGGCCACGCTGAGAGTATAAGAGGGGCCCCTGTGGGGGACCTCGGGGCTGTTGCTGGAGTTGGGATCCCCGTCGTGCTGCTCAAGTTCGTCGCCATATTTTTGTAGTTTTTTGTTTATTTTATTTTTATTAATTTGAACCTATTTGCGTGACTTTACCGAAAGACCCAAAGAATATGTTCAATTACAGTTAGCCCATGTAATTGAAATACAATTGCTACTGAGAAGCAATTTGGTATTAATATCCAAACTCCCAAATTAACCGAATGACCCGTAATGTCTCCAACCCCATCAGATCTCAGAAGCTAAGCAAATTTCAGCCTGCGTAAAGCTTGGATGGGTGCCTACCATGCACACCAGGTTGCCATGGGTGGCTACGGAGCTGTGGCGCTAGCATGGCGATCAGAAAACGACAGTGCAGTACAGCTCGTCGTTGTACTACGCTTCTATGCCCCGACACCCGCGCTCCCCACCTCCACCAACCCGCACTGACGTGCGTGGCGAAGTGACTCGAGGGGAAGGCACTCATCCAGCAGTGGACACGTGCATTTAAATTCCCAACTATATGAGGTAAGACGGCACCTTCCCATAAAAAAAAACATACATTCTCTATGCGATTTAACACGTAGGCTTTCGCGACCAATATTATTCATAAAGGTTTTTGGGTGAGATCGCGTTATTTATAAATGTGTCGTAACCCTCCACCACCCGACACGGCCAAACAGTAAAAAATGTGTCACGTTTACTAAGGACAAATAGTTCACAACTTTAGCCCACCGGTGTGTTGAAGAGTGAATCAGAATGGCTACAATAATACTCAAATTAACAGAGCACGGAATGACAAATCACGATCGCAAGGCAACACTGCTGAAAGTGATCAGATTGTTAAAACAATTAGAGAATTTATTGAAATTGAGAGAAATAGAAATAACTTTAATCGCTCTGACAGCTACAGGCTTAGTGCGGCTTGGAAGCGTATTATTAAATAATACATACTATAATTCCTTATAGGGGAAACACATACTAATTAACGGATTACTAACGTAGCATATAATCACAATAACACACATTACAACTAATTACTAATCTACAACTCATTACTAATCATAACCATTGACTGATTACCAATCGATTATATAATTACAATACCCCCCCTCCGCCTCAAATCACTGCACCGGAATGAGTTAAATGATGACGTCACCCTGCTGTTCTATTTAAGACCGGGAGCAAGTGAGGGCTTTACCATTCTCGCGAATTGCCCGATGATGCTGGATGTAATTACCAGCGAAACGTCGTACTCAAATTGAAAATGATGTTGATTCACTCTTCAACACACCGGTGGGCTAAAGTAGTGAACTATTTGTCCTTTGTAAACGTGACACATTTTTTACTGTTTGGCCGTGTCGGGTGGTGGAGGGTTACGACACATTTACAAATAACGCGATCTAACCCAAAAACCTTTATTATGAATTCTCTATGCGAGCTAACTGAGCCGGGGCAGTCAAGAATGGTACAACTGAACATCGATTGAATGACAAAATAAATTCACCCGCACGTGGTGTGCCGCACGTGGTGTGCCGCACGTGGTGTGCCGCACGTGGTGTGCCGCACGTGGTGTGCCGCACGTGGTGTGCCGCACGTGGTGTGCCGCACGTGGTGTGCCGCCACGTGGTGTGCCGCCACGTGGTGTGCCGCACGTGGTGTGCCGCACGTGGTGTGCCGCACGTGGTGTGCCGCCACTCACCTCTAGAGTGGTCCTGTCCACGGCGCGCGGTAGTTTGCTTCGTCCGCGAGTCGTAACGATCAGTATCTCGTACGGGTATATCTGCGGGAGCGTGCACTGGAATCAGCTTGGAAATACCAGGCACCGCGCTCTATCCACTGCTTAGGTTAAGGCTGAAAGGTAACGCGTAGTGGATGAATGAAGTATGTCGCCTTCGTCAGACATGATAAATTCCACTGCTGGATGAAGGCCTCCCCCCCCTCCCCCCGCCCCCAAGCCATCGCCATCTCTCACAATCCCGCAATGCAATAATCCACCTAGCCCTCTGCACAATGGCTGATTTTTAACCGCTCCATTTCCTTGCATGGATGTCCACTGGGGCACATATGCAGTATGTAGTGCGTTAACATTTGGCATTATCCCTAGTAGCACTGCCTTCTTCAATATACCCTTTTTTATTAAAGCCTTGTAAATTTAAAGTATTCGTGACCACATAATACCCATTCAGTCATATTGTACCATTCTCAACAAGCACCTTAAATTGACGAGTGATACTTTAACCACCTCGCACAGTTACAAAGGCGGGTCTCACTCGATAACATATTTGTTCTTCGAGGAATGACGAAGTTTAAATGGGTTTATTTCAGCAGGCCAAGTGATGTTCAAACTCCCTGCTGACATGAGTAAACTGCTGCCAGTAATAGCCTCATGGAGGCAATGTGAGGAATTTTTACAGCGAAATCCCCTGCAGAGAGACGGTGCCCACGCTAACACAACCAAGAAGGGGAGCCCCATAAGCCATCCATTTGAACTAATCAGGGACAGAGTTATGGGATTTTTCCCCTCCCATGCTCTCCCAATAGCTGTCTCCTCCTTCTCTTTTGCCGGGGTTATTCAAGCTCCGTTCCTTGCGACCTACGAGAGGTGCGTCTTGCCGAGCTAACAAATGTACCTCGTTTGAAGCATACATGCTCGTTGCACGCTGTACGCACCCGATGATTGCTAAACATCCCACACACGTAAGGTTTCGCAGCGTGTTGGGAATTTCTTCTCTCAAAGCTTTCACCATGCACTACCGAGGGCGTCATCGAAGTTTCCTTCGAAAGATGCCTGCAGTGGTGATATGGCAGCTCCCTCGCATGGTATCCAGGTCGTGGGTTCGATCCTGACTTTGATGTCTGTATATTTGGAGTTTCCATGTTCTCCCCATGGTCGCGTGGATTTTTACTCTGGGTCCTCCGGTTTTTCCCTCCACATTTAGAAACATGCGTTGGTCAATTTGCACTTGATAAGCCACTTCGTTGAGCTATCATCTGTGGCCGGGTCGCTTCTGAAAAAGAGCTGCATATAGCTCAGTGTGCCTTACCTGGTAAAATGAAAATAAATATCTGAAATAGCAGTGCGTGGTGAGAATAAACGCTCAACAGGCAGCCCATCTCCAGAAAAACCACACTTGCATGGCTGACGATGCCGACGGTAATGATGATGACAACGATGAATTTTCGCAATACCTTTGGCTCCAGAATGTTTGGCATAGACACGCCTTTCTCCATTCGGGACGCCCGTGTTCCACCGCCCGCAGCAGGCTGTGGCACAAAGCGGAAGGCTCTTTGCGGCGGCTCGCACATGACACTCGTGTGCGTGTGTACGGTGTGTGTACGCACGCGCACACACACCGTGCGCACACGTGAGTGTTGCGCGCGTGTGCCCACACCGTGTGCACGCGACGCTCGCGTGCACGAGCGTACACGCAATGCGCACGCGACGGTCGTGGCATAAATCCACTGCGGCCCCGCGCTAAATTATTTTTCCCACACTAACTTCGAACAGCTTTCTCGGAGTGCGGTCGTATATAAACAAGGCATTCCCACAGCGCTATAATAGAATGAAGATGTGACCGCCAATGTAATTGGCACTGATTACGCTCGGGCGTTATGGGGGCAACAGCAAAGAGCGTACTGCAGTGTGGCAAGACCAATTCGCATATTCGCAGCAGCTGGCTACGGTTTATTTTACCACATTTTCACATCTCTGATTAGCACGGTTGGCTACGTACGCTCTGGAAGAAGTTCAACATGCATACAACAACGTGTCGATAAAGAAATAAGTTATGAGTTCAAATAAAAGCACCACGAACCGTCATAGCCTCCTCTATTGTCGATGGTGGCACCTGGCAAATAGTAATGATCGAGAAAAACAACATCAGAATATCTCGCCGCACCCAGACGCTAAACAGTGCAGCCTTTAAGTGGCCTACCAACAATTCCCCATTCTGATCACGCGAATCTCAACCGAGCACCAAGTTATTAGTACAGAAACGCACTATGCATTATGGGAAAAAAAGCATATACAAGCAGAACTCCGTTCTCTGTCGCTACAAATAAATACAAATGTGTTTCAGTCCATCGGCCTCTTGGCTTTCAAGACCGATGCAATCCGGCGACGTTTGTTAAAGCAAGCACACAATGGATCAGTTTTGACCTTCTGGGTCTCACCGGCAGTCACATTTATGCGGGTTAGCCAGGTGTTGCTAGGCAAATGCCGCAGCCCGATTGTCGAGACACAGGCGGCCCTTGCCGTCGTACCCCGCAAGCCATTAAACTGCGCTAATGGGACGAATGGCACTAGGGCGTGGGCCCTGTGAAGCGTTGCCGCACACGGTCACGGCACGTATATATTTTTTTTAGAAAACACAAGACGCCCCGCAATGTGGCAAAGCCGTCACAACATCTGACAGCGCCGCCATCAAAAGTGACCGGCCGGTTCGATTGGCAGTAGTGGCATTACAGTACTGTACGAGCATTTGCATTTCCTTTCCATTATAAACATTTAACGTTATACATTAAATGACACCAAAGACGACTGGTATGTGCCGGAGAACATTATGGTAATGACACATAAAATAATCGGATGAAACATGAAATAGGAAAGGGGATTGTTATGTTATTATTCGTATATATGTTTTACTCGATTGATTTTAAAGATTCTGCGCTGTTTAATCAATGGCACTTATAGAATGTGTCATATATATGCTTTGCAAGGGTAACCAAATGATTAAAAATTTAATCTTGACTCAAGCAATATTGTATTTTTTTAGTGTTTGCAAAGTACTGTATCCCTAAGTTAAAGGGAAGTGTCCCCTTACCTGGCAATCTACATGGAAGGAGATGAGAAGGGAAATCAAACCAAACACAACGAAAAGGAACAAAGGACAGGAAAACAAAACAACAAAAAACAAATGAGAGGCAGTTAGTGAGAGTTGCTTGGTCTCTCGAAAAACCGCGACAATACTCGTGAATCTACTACATCATTATGAGACCTCCTTTGCCAGAAACAAGATATAGGAATAGGTTTTACCCTTTTAACTGGCACAAAAACTGACACCTTTATTCAAGGCGTCATGTTTGCAATAACCACAACACAAGCAGTCAAAATGGTCCAAAACCAATGGAGACTAAGGGCTCTAAGAAAAGCCGTCTCGGGTGTGGACCAATCAAATTCAAGGACAGTGCATATTATTATCAGAGTTGTCTTTTTTGTTTGCATTTTGACTGCTTGTGTTGTGGTTATTGCAAACATGATGCTTTGAATAAAGGTGTCAGTTTTTGTGCCAGTTAAAAGGGTAAAACCTATTCCTAAATCTACTACATCTGCAAGTACATTTTAATCCATTCTTTACGGTGCTGTGATCCAACGCCTACGATTCCCGCGTACACCGACACGCACTGACCAGCGTGGTGAAGGAAGGTTGAACATAACCCTCACGATCCGCGCGGTGTGCGGAGACCCTCATCCAGCGGTGGATTGACAAAAAGGGCTCTGCGTGTACATTTCCACGAGCAGCATTGTACTCGAGTTCAAAGCGCGGCGATGCACGGCTTTTCAAAAGGTGGCCAACGTTTTTTTTAATTGCTTTTTCTATAAATTCAGAGAATTGTTGGTAAATTGCGAGGTTGTTTTTTTGTTGTTGTTGTTGTGCAGCGTGAAACGAATTAAATATTTACGTTCCTAAATTCTGCGACTTGCGTTTGCGACAAGAGTCCACCAAAGGCGTACACGAGGCGGATGGGAGGCGGGCGGGTGTACCCGTTGTGTGGAATGTTTCTCATGTAACACAGAATGTGCACACGCAACGATGCATTTTCAACAAATGGACACTTCTCAATGCATCAAACGACGAAATGTAAACCACCGATTTCCTCCAACACAAGCACACGCGGAGTAAGTTATCCAGCACATGCAACAGTACTCACCTTTTTCAGGTCAAATAATCATAACATACGCAATTATATTTATTTAAACATAGACTGCATTGTAACCATTTATTTTAAAGGTCACGATAATATCCATTCGGTGTGCTAGAATGATAACAGTAATACTAATTCTAATTTGCAACACGTTATCGAGCCATTACAGGATAAACGCCTTCCCACGGCATGTCGAGTGTGGGGGAGGGGTGTTTGACCATACTTCACCACGCTGGTCAGTATGGGTAGGCGAAGGTGTTGGTTGGGGCAGGGAGAGCTGTACCTGGTCAGATATCACTCACCAATGACGCTAGCCACATCTGGGAATATTACTCGGGTGTGTCAGGTTCAAAGCGCATTGTGCTCACCACTGGATCACCCACTTGGTTCACAGTAATGCAATCCTTTTTAAAATGCCACCATATCTGGGATATATTCACGTGGAATAGGAGTTTTAATGACAAGGTCAACCTTAAAACACAATTTAAATTCAACAGCAATTTACAAGACATTTCACTACGTCAGACGTGACTAAGGGAAATTAACGACGTTGGGGGAAATTGTGAAGCACGGAGCAGATGACGTCAACTGGATCACGACGGATTCTCAGATTTACTCTTGAACGAGGCTGCGTCACTTGTTGCTGCGTGGAAAACGGATGCCTCTGTGCAAAACAAACATGATGAAAAGAAAAGGTAATACGTGCGGTGTTATCATCGAATGCCTCTCGTCTCACCTCGGGGATCTTGGTAACAGTTTCCATGGACGTGATGGAAATCTGTCGACTGGGGCTGTAGGAGCAAATGAGCATAAGGCACGGGACACGTTAATTTACCAAATGATACGTTTCTGTTAAAAAAAGAGGGGCTACTAATTGCGGTTCCAATAAAGGAAATTTAGACAGAAAATGTTTGACAATCGCATACGTTCAATTCTCAACAGTCCCTCAAATTCCTCACGTCCATCGGCTAATTGCGGTGAAGATAACGGTATCCTTTGGGGTCAGCAGGAAGTGGCAAAGGAAATAGCCAAACTGTGCGGAGTGTAAAAATAAAACCGAGATGAGGGCATTCATTATAGTTCCATTAATTGTAGTTCCAGGCTACACAGACGAGTTTGTAAAAGAGCCAATAGTTTTTTTCCCCGTTTCCTGAATTACATGAGCAGTCTGACCTTTGGCAGACACTCCATGATAAACGGCCGCGGTGCGTGCACTCCTCGTGCATGCCAGTAATGAGTGTTTATCATTCCCGAGTGCCTCATTTAGGCTGGCGTAGCCCCCCCCCCACTACAAAAAGCATTGTCCGAGGCCGCGGCTTTCAACTTTGTATTTTTTGCGATGCCACCCCCTCTGTATCGCCGGCCCCTGCCAGCGTCGTTGCGGCCCTGCTGTTTGTTGTTGTGCAGTGAAACCAAAGAAAGCGGTTTTGCAAAACGCAAACCAAAATCAAGAGCACAACATGAAAGTTGAACTAATGTCCTTACCCGCTGCAGCCCATTCCTTCCATAACCTGGAAGGGAAGAAGACTTGGATGGAGACCCTGCACACAGCAGCGGAGCGCATGTTAGTTTAGGCACCCATAAAAACGACCACTACTCGTGGCCAGCAGGGCCTGCACATTAAACCAATGAAGACTTTATCTGGGCTTGCAGGTTAAACCAATGAATTATCTCCATGGGTCTGCACATTAAACCAACGAAGACTCTCTCTGGGCCTGCACATTAAACCAATGAAGACTCTCCCTGGGCCTGCACATTAAACCAATAAAGACTCTCTCTGGGCCTGCACATTAAACCAACAAAGACTCTCTCTGGGCCTGCACATTAAACCAACGAAGACTCTCCCTGGGCCTGCACATTAAACCAACAAAGACTCTCTCTGTGCCTGTACATTAAACCAACGAAGACTCTCCCTGGGCCTGCACATTAAACCAACAAAGACTCTCTCTGGGCCTGCACATTCAACCAACAAAGACTCTCTCTGGGCCTGCACATTAAACCAACGAAGACTCTCTCTGGGCCTGCACATTAAACCAATGAAGACTCTCTCTGGGCCTGCACATTAAACCAACGAAGACTCCCCCTGGGCCTGCACATTAAACCAATGAAGACTCTCCCTGGGCCTGCACATTAAACCAACAAAGACTCTCTCTGGGCCTGCACATTAAACCAACAAAGACTCTCTCTGGGCCTGCACATTAAACCAATGAAGACTCTCCCTGGGCCTGCACATTAAACCAACGAAGACTCTCTCTGGGCCTGCACGTTAAACCAATAAAGACTCTCTCTGGGCCTGCACATTAAACCAACGAAGACTCTCCCTGGGCCTGCACATTAAACCAACAAAGACTCTCTCTGGGCCTGAACATTAAACTAACAAAGACTCTCTCTGGGCCTGCACATTAAACCAACGAAGACTCTCTCTGGGCCTGCACATTAAACCAACGAAGACTCTCTCTGGGCCTGCACTTTAAGCCAATGAAGACTCTCTCTGGGCCTGCACATTAAACCAACGAAGACTCTCGCTGGGCCTGCACCTTAAACCAACGAAGACTCTCCCTGGGCCTGCACATTAAACCAACGAAGACTCTCTCTGGGCCTGCACATTAAACCAACGAAGACTCTCCCTGGGCCTCCACATTAAACCAATGAAGACTCTCCCTGGGCCTGCACATTAAACCAACGAAAACTCTCTCTGGGCCTGCACATTAAACCAACGAAGACTCTCTCTGGGCCTGCACTTTAAGCCAATGAAGACTCTCTCTGGGCCTGCACATTAAACCAACGAAGACTCTCTCTGGGCCAGCACATTAAACCAACGGAGACTCTCCCTGGGCCTGCACATTAAACCAACGAAGACTCTCTCTGGGCCTGCACATTAAACCAACGAAGACTCTCCCTGGGCCTGCACATTAAACCAATGAAGACTTTCCCTGGGCCTGCACATTAAACCAACGAAGACTCTCTCTGGGCCTGCACATTAAACCAACGAAGACTCTCCCTGGGCCTCCACATTAAACTAATGAAGACTCTCCCTGGGCCTGCACATTAAACCAACAAAGACTCTCCCTGGGCCTGCATATTAAACCAATGAAGACTCTCCCTGGGCCTGCACATTAAACCAACGAAGACTCTCTCTGGGCCTGCACATTAAACCAACAAAGACTCTCTCTGGGCCTGCACATTAAACCAATGAAGACTCTCCCTGGGCCTGCACATTAAACCAATGAAGACTCTCCCTGGGCCTGCACATTAAACCAACAAAGACTCTATCTGGGCCTGCACATTAAACCAACAAAGACTCTCTCTGGGCCTGCACTTTAAACCAATGAAGACTCTCCCTGGGCCTGCGCAATATCAGAATCATTGTTTATACTGGAGGAATTTGATGAGCTATGAAGCTCTTTTTCACAGATGTCCATTAAACCAACGACCAGTCCGAAAACGCGTCGGCAAAAACTGAGTTGTGTTAAAAATAGTGTTTTTTGTATTTTAACTTACAAATAAAATGTTTTGCTTACGTGAATATTTACTTTTTAGAGACCTGTACTGCAGACTTACAAGCTTTCAGATTTTGCCTTTGGTCATAAAAAAACGGCATAAAGTGTTATTTTTTACGATTTAGTTTCAGTCTGTTTTTAGTCATAAAACCTGTATCACTCTTGAGGACCTCTTGATTTCCTTGATATATCTCGAGCTCAGGTTTTAACTATTGTAAATATAAGGTTTCACTGAAACCCTTGCTTCTGAAATGTTGGGGCTTGTAAGTTAATTACATCTGTGTCTGCTGTAAGTGCGATATGTATTATCATGCATCGCCAAGTTTACGCGATAATGAACATCACATTCACTGGTCATGCATATAAAACCGTCTCTAGCTCTCTTCTGTAATGCAATATTTAATTGCAACGTGACACTGAGTTTGGTCGAAGCTTATTCTCAATGTGACAAATCAAGAATGTAATCTGTATTTAGGACTGTGGTGAACTGTGGTGACTGTGGAAACACATGTGCACCAGTTACATGAAACTTATTTCAATCAAAATCATTGATTCTTACACGTCGGTTTCAATGAACATTTGCAATCATAAGATGATATATTCATAGACAAATCGTTGCATTGTTAACCGCTCTTACAGCACAGTGGGTACATGGCTTTGTTCTTACAAACTAAACGTCTTGCATGTTTATATTCTAAGTGCTGGGCATTCATGTAAATGTAATTATGTGTAAAGCACTCCATCGATATGCCTTTGTGCATGTGAAGTGCGCTATTACAAATATTTATTGATTGATTGATAATATTTACCCTGCCTGGTCGCTGTAAGGCAATTGTTCTTAACCTTTAATGCAGCCGTGCACCCCTTTGGTTGTCAACCGTTGAAAACAAAACGTATAATGTTCATAAACACGTAGGTTTGATGAAAAAATAGTAGTTGTACCTACATGCCCCCCAGGTTAAGAACCGCTGCTGTAACGAAATATCACGGGGGTCTGACCATGTCCATGGAGAGTGAAAGACAACTCAACGAGAGCCACACCAGCTGTGTAAAGTAACTTTAAGACGTGCGTGTGTGTGTGTGCAAGTGTACAAACCGCTGCCCGTTGATTGGAAATCGTTCTAAAACTGCATCCATGAGTCAGCGGTTGCGACCACCATGCCAAAACACGAATGCCCAACCAATGCGAACGGACACGACAGACACGCACTCGGCACGGAGGGCCTGAGGTCAAGACCAGAGTTGTTCAGAGTTACAGACTAGAGCTGAAAAGTAAGGCTAGAACCAAGGTTAAATGTGTATACATTCATGCGCATGGTGGAAAGATAAGGGTTAAGGCAATTCTCCCAACAATATACCTCTTTTCCACTAGCCCGTCCGAGCCAAGCCAGCGTGGGGCCCTCAATGTACGCATGGTTTTCCACTGGCAATTTGGCAGAAGTAAACCGTGACGCGCTGGCCAGGGATAAATTCTACTTTCACAGAGCACGTGACATGAGTCAGTGCACACCGAGGACGGCGCCACCGTAACGTCTACACGCGTGTTGACACGTACACGGCATGTGACGTCGGTGCATTGGCATGGCGTGGCTCGGCTTCTGCAGTGAGGAAATAAATACATGGGGACTCCTGAGCAGTGCCGGATGATCCTAGTAGCAAAAGGAGCACATGCTATGGGCCCTGAACTTTCAAGGGCCCTACGCTAAATTCTTTCAAGCTAAAAATTCCGGTCCATTGATTCTGCATTGCTCTATTACTATAGTACTATACTGCCTTGAACTTTTATGAACGACTGGGTGTTTAAGGTTAGCGATTTGTCGTATTATCTGGCTGTATAGCAAATGAAAAAATGCAATTACTTTACTATGCAAGTTAAAAATTTGTGTGTTTTAATATTTAAGTGTGTTTTTTTTTATTTAGGGCCCCTTTATAACATATGCTACAGGCCCCGCACTAGCTTAATCCGGGACTGCTCCTGAGTCACGTCGGGCTGGCTCGGCATGGCCCCGGTATGGCTTGATTCTGCAGTGGAAAAGAGTTATAATTGTCTCAGCTAGCCGTGGATAAACAGTGCTCCTTGCCAAAGGGTCAAGACACTGATAAAAAAAAATGTCCCCCCAACAAACAGACATGGTCCTTGGTCCTGCCCATGTATTAATGGTCACGGAGGTGACCTTGTGTTACAGACCCCAGCCGTGGCCCAGAGACAGAAACCTTGGCTTTCATTCCAAAATCATGGTCTTGCTCACAGGTGTGCACGTGAATTAATATCAATGTGAATTGGAAATCCCTCTAAAAGCCAAATACATTCACCCCTAGAAGTGTCAAAATTATGCCGTGGCACGCATTCCAACATTGATGCCATCCTCTTTGTCACATGTGCACAATGCCAGGCCAAAATGTGAAAGGCGCTCTTTCAATTCGTTTTGGATGAGACAACTTCTAGGGTTGATCATATCTTTACCGTTTGCAGCGGATGTGGTCACCACCCATATGACAGCACAGTGAATGACTGATTCACATCTGCGTTACACATTGGCAACACTTCATTTACTCGTCATTTTTGCAACATCAAGGCCTCAGTGTTTATCGGGGGGAAAAAAACATTCATTTTAACGTAGATGTCAAAGGTTATGCATTGCAATTAATAGCTTCACGCCCCTGCTGGCGGTAGGGTCTTCAAAAGAGGGAGCTCAAGAGAGCTTCACTGCAGTCATTTAATTGTCCCTAGAATATCCTAATCAGGAAGGGGTTTGTTAGAACATTTACTATTTCCAATGACATGCTTCACTCGGTCATTGCAAAAGTAAAATTGCAGTTTAAAGCTACTGAATTTGCCATCGAATACGTTTAAAAGGGACACGTGACTGACGAGCAAAAACAAAGTGTTGCCAATCCTTTCCGTCATTTTCCCCGTTGAATAATCAGAGACAAGCACGACATCAATGAATGAAACACAGGCACGCACGCACGCACGCGCACAAGTTAGGACGAGACGTTGATTTTTCATGATAAAGACACAATGCTCCATCATGACCGTGGGTACCTACCCTGCTCCTCAGGGCACAGACTCCTTGATGGAGCTTTCCAAAAAGAGCACCACAAGAACATTGATACAGGCAGATAAAATATGTGGAGCAAGCCGGCCAAAACGTCCAGTGTTTTTTTCCTTTCCTTACCTTTCTCCGATAAAAAATAAAATTCCCGCTCCAAACGACCTATCTTACCGAGCACATTCAATCGTAGTCAAGTCAAAAAAAGAGGTAAAGGTGCGGCCCTGATATTGCTTGCTCACACCACTGTTGTGGGGTTTTGCTATGTCACGGGAGCTCCATCTTGAGGGTATTTGGCCTACCCTTCCACACGGGCCAGACGTCTTGGAAGAGGTGGGAGTGCCCACACTTTATCCCGCCACGCACGACCTGCCGATCGACTAAATGTGGTGATCCAGTGAACCCATTCACATGCGCTGACCGGTAACACCGTGGCAGAAACCCTTCAGTTAAAGTCAGCAGCCAAAAGTTAGTTCGTGTTCAGATGAGCAATGAGGCACGGCTCTTATCTTGTTTACAGCCCTCAGCCAGCGGTGGAATTTCCACAATCCAATGGGGGCAGGGGTGACTTTCCCACAAAGTGGTACAGTAGCTATTTTATCGACCTCAAAGGTAATGATGGGCTGGGTCAGCCCCCCAAAAAATGATTTGAACTTGCAACCTTCCAATTGCAAGTTGCAACCTGGCCCAACACGGTATATGTGAATACATCCGATGGGAGTAGAGCAGGTGAGCTATACTGAATCATGCCACGGAACAACCTTGGCTATACCTGTATGGTGCCATCATGTGGCATCACTGAGCCAGGTGAGATAAAGAAGCAAAACCATCAGGAGGGCTGAGTGAAGAGATGCACGTACGTTACAAACCTTTTTTTGACATATATCCTTGTCCGCTTATACACGAATAACTAGAATCACCTAATATCCATTTAATGTTTTCCGTAAACTAATTTTGCAATTGCCCTCTGATCAGTCGAAAAATAATCTGCCCGAGCCGACTTGCGACCGCTTGGTAAGGCCTTATATGTGCGTGTCTACGTCGAACCTCTTTCGCACCATACGTAGCCAACCTCGCTAATTGCAGGTGCAGGGGAAGGACAACAAACTAAACACATCCAGCAGCAGTGGCTCCGATCCACAGCTGATGACGACGACGACGACGAAGCCGTGTGAGCAATGCAACGCCTTACACGCATGCACGGGGGAGTCGAAGAGCGTGCGCTGCGAGGGCTCGCTGGAAGCGGAGGGCGTGCGTGACGACGACCGCGGGTCCAGCTCTCGCTGGTTCTCCATCTCCTCCCGCAGGATCATCCGCCCGAGGCCCGACTGCACCTGCCGACGGCCGCGGGGCGGAGCGGGGGACGCGACGCGGGTCACCCGACGCGGCGTCCGGGTGAATGCCAAGCGGGGTTGTGCGTGCGGTGTGGCCATCGGAGTATGCAGGCGGTGCAATTGCACCGGGTAAGGGGAGAAGGGGAGGGGTGGGGGCTGTGGGGCCAAATGGGCACCGCAGGTACCGGGTGAAGTTGAAAAAGAACAATGGACAACAGGGGGTGGCCCCCATTGCATTGCTTGCAGCAGGGCGTGTATGCCAACCACGTGTTCTTATTTGGAGAGTAATATTGGCGCGTCCAACGATGCTGTCCAATTGATAGAATACCGCGTTGTCGTTGGACATTGACGATAGTGATTACCGTTGTTGTTGTTGTTGTTTTCCTCATAGTGATTACCGTCAACATCAGCCACGATCCATCTCAGTAAACATGGCCGGTATAAAAAAAAAGATAAATAAAAGGACACCATTTGTTTTTTTCAACTTAACACCGATCCTTATCTGCGTTTTATTTTTTGGAGTTGAAATAATTTCTGAATTGGGATTCGTGTTTTTTTTTTTTCACGGAAAGTTATTTTTTAAAACTCCCGGTGCTATATAAAAAAAAACTCACAGTGCGGAGTGCACTACCTTGCTCATCTCCTGCTCGTGAACGACTCGACGCCGCCTTGACTCGTCCTCCTCCTCCTCCTCGTGCATGGTCCTGTTCTTCCGCCACTCTGTCCCCACCCAACACCGTCCACCCCCCCCACCACCAACGGAGAAGCAATCACAGACTTGGAATGAGGGTAAAAAGCATTTCTGTGTCCCCCACATACAAATTTACATCATGCCGTGAGTCCGTCGGCCTATTTTCTTTCCAGCGTCGGTGATGTCCGGCAGCGTTTGTTGCACCCAGAAGATTGTGGAGCGGTTTAGACCTTCTGGGTATCATCGGCAGAGTTAGCCTTTGTTACAAAAACGAATTCTGCTGGGTTGCCAGATGTTATTGGCATGAATATTATATCCAAGCTACGGGGGCCCTGGTCAATGTGCTATTTAATCCAGACTCATTATGCATTCATATAAGTAGAACCTCGATCTGGTTTTCCGAATTGATAATATTTTTTACAAATTGAATAATAATGATCCCGTTACATTTTGCACGTGCGTGATGACTGCTAAACATGTCCCACACAATGTAATATACACACGCACATTGGAATCTACACTCCCTTAAATTTTACATGGAATATGTTTATGAATGTTCAAGAACGTGAAGTGTTCAGTGAATTCATTTATATTTGAATGAAGGTAAATTTGTGAACTTTACAGGACATTTTGGTGGGTCATAAGGAGTAGATTTATGGAAATACTGGTTTAGGTGACCGAGTAAGCCCCATGACCATATATAATGCAAACTCTGGCCAGATCAATCGTCTTTTTTGCACCCTTTGAAAGTAATCCACGGTCATTTATATATTTCATTTCACTCATGTGCACGTGTGTTACTCATTAGATACACGATTCAGGACCCTTTTTTTTAAATCGTGAAAATTGTAATGCTTTCTCTACGAATGTATTCTCAGTGCTTCCTTGGGGAGCTTTGCGCTCTGGGCAGCTGCCCGATCTTGCCCACCCCTAAGGCCGGACCTGGTAAAGCCCCAGTGACATCCGAAGAAACGGAGACATAAATTAGTTATGTATGTATGTACACATGCAGCAGAAATAACTGCTGTTGCCATTACGTTTGAACCAGCTCAGGCCTGGTATGTGGAAACATTAACAACTCATATTCTTGAGCAGGAGAAAACTACGGAGCCACCCTGCGAATTCCGCACATTCCAGAAACATGCCCGAAAACGCGTAGGAGTCGGCACTCTAAGAGTAGAAAATAAACATGTTTCATTTGAGCCCTTTTGTTTAGCGGCTTCATGTTATTTGGGGAGATCTCCGACAGCTGATTTGAAACACAAACCATGCCACAATCTTGTCATTACTCATCGACCTCCAATAACACAGACTCAATCGAGCGTTAGCGTGACTCATAAACCACCTCATCGTGTAAAAGCAAAAATGTATTTAAACGTGACAATTTTTTTTATTTTATCAGGTCAGGCCCACTAAGCTATATAGTTATTTTTCAGAAGCGACCTGGCCACAAATGATTGCTCAACGAAGTGGCTTATCATCACGTGGAAATTAATAGCAGCCAAATACTCTTAACACAAATGTGGAAGGAAAAAAACCGGAAGGACCCAGAGAAAAATCCATGCGGCCACGGGGAGCACACCGTGCAAACTCCAAAATATACAGCAGGCATCGTCAGGGTCAGGATCGCCCCCACGACCTCCTGTATACCGGGCGAGGTAATTAACATCTCGCCACCGTGGCTCCCCCGTTGTTTGTCCACGCCCATCAGAGGCATCAATGCCGGGGAAGGCCTCACCGACGGCGGCGAGAGAAGGGGGGCAGGGCCAGTAGTCGGTCTCGATCTTGGCGGGCAGTGCGGGATCCGGGGCGTGCGCCGCCGGGAATTTGGCCGCCTGGATGACGTCCTCCCCGACGACACGACCGCCCGGCCCCGACATCATCGACGACTCTGCGCGCCCAGCGGCGGCAGAATCGGCAGCAGCGGGTAACAGTGACGACGGCTCTAATGTTCCAAGCGTAAGAGTCCAAATTATAATTTTCATTTCTCACAGCTGAAAGTTTTGGTTGAAATTGATTGTGGGCAGAGCTAAATTTAAAGTGATGTTTTAATTCCGCAGCCACTGGTTAATGGACCGAGACCATCAACTCACTGCACTTGGAACAACCCGATTTAATTCGAGGTGCATGCCTGGATTGGAAACCAGGATCTTGGTGGTGCCAGCTTAGCAGTCTTAAACTCTGAGCTACCCTGGCCAACCTAGGAGGGGAATTTTCAGATTTCCCTGCGCCAATGAGCTTGCTGAGGCAATTGTGAAAAAGTCTCCACTGCTCGAATGAGTAAAGGGGTCGTTGCAATCCCTACTCTCAGCCGATAATCAATAATCAAAATTGTGAAAATTCCACATGGCAATAGCGGAGGCCGGTTTTTCCCCTTAAGGTTATACGAGGCATGGCCATATATTTGATTTATGAGCTGTGGCCAACAAATACTCCCCCAAGCTTTCGTGTTATGTTCTTATAATGGAATATGTCAACTTTACCGTACTGCTTGTAGACGGGCGGCTTCCTGTAAATGTTGGAGCTGTCTTCTGCGCAACGAACCAAAAAATATACGGCGAATCAATGAACATCAGTGTATCGTAATAGCGAAATAAACAAATGCAAGGAGCTTAATGACTAACGCCATACTCTTTCATGTATAAAGTTGTTGCCGTATTCTTCAGATTGTAAGTTACACTTCCCCCCCCCCCGTCCCCTGTATTGTTTAAGCGAGAGTTGGGGGGTGTATCCTATGTCCTGGTAGGTGTGAGTGCTTGTGTGAGACTAGCTTTGGATAACTTTGTTGTCACTGAGCACGGTTGGAAGCTACGTCGTTACTTTCCGGAGTGTCTTTAAAATCCGTAAAATTAGGTGACGTTTTAGAAGTCAGCAAGACGGCATCTGCCGTTCAAGCATCAGAACACAGAGGCGAGCAGTGATCCTGAATAATGCTATCGCCCTCTGGTGGGCAAACAGTGCAGTCCTTTGCTTTTTAACACAACGCTAAAAAAAACAAACGCTCCACCCCTACGTGAACAGCAACAACCAGCCGTCAGCTACAACGAGGGTCAGGCCACTCGGTGATTATTCCACAGCGCAGCATAAAAAGGGGTCATGGCAGGCGGGGAGGTACGCGGGGAAAGGGATGAGGTGTGGTGAGCGGAGACGATCAAGGAGACGCAGGAGGGTTGGGGAGGATCAGGCGAATGAGCGGCAGAGATAGCCGAGAAAAACAGCGAAAATCGAGTGTCTCTACCTCTCTCACTCCCTGCTAAGCGCCGATTGTGAAGCGAGGCTCTGGTCTGCGCTTGGCGCGCCGTTGTGCCAGGGGTCTTAGTGAAGCGGTCGCGTTTGGGCCCGCGTGGCGGTAACGAAGCGCACGCTCGAGCGAGTGAGCGAGCGGTGTCACCAAAGTCAATTTGTAAAAGGCCACGGGCAGCGGGGGGAGGCGAATCCAGGCATGGTGGAGCCTGAACCGCAGGTCTGACGGTGCTTCCGCTATCCAATACCAGAAGCTCATTGTCACCCCCCCCCCCCCAGATTGTATCAAATCACTTGATGCCAACCTGCGGGGTACGGATCTCCCGACTCCATCCACCCTCCAACCCTCGACTAAATGGAATGCCTCAAATGTCAGCGCTAGCAATCGGCACGCCGCCGCCGCCGCCGCCCGGGTGTGACCATCGTGCGCACGCGCGCACACACACGCATATGCACATATGCGGTCATTGTGTGCGTAAGAGCATGCAATTTCCACATGAAATGTTCCGTTCAGGGATGAATGCTTGCTTTGGTGACATCCACCAAGTGCCAAATGACTCTAAATGCTCATGAAATGAATAAAACAAAGAATAACATTAATATCCAAGCAACTTTGCGGGTAATTGCCGCAATTAGTAGTTGTACGTTAGACAAATAAGAAGGGGGGGAGGGGGGTTCGTTTTTATTATTATTGTATGTGCAGTAATAATAATTGTAAAAAAAAAATCCAATCTTCTCAAAGCGAACTGCGATATCTACGGGGGGGTCACTGGCAGAGGAGCGGTCATACCTGGCAGGTGAAAGTGTTTGGGAGACTGGGGGGGGCGGGGGGAGGGCGACTGCCCTAGGGACCGCTTTTGCGAGGGCGAGCTGTGTGTACTTGTCGTGATCATGCCTCCAGGTCGGACAGGGGGAGGGGGGGTCAACGTGATGTGGAGGGAGGGAGGGGGAGGGAGGGGGGAGGGAGGGGGGAGGGGGGAGGGAGGGAGGGGAGAGAGGGGGGAGGGAGGGGAGGGAAGGGAGAGGGAGGGAGGGAGGGAAGGAGGGAGGGGAGAGGAAATTGAGAGGAAACAACAGATGTATAAAGTAGGATCGATGTGTTGAGAAAAAGGTGAACGGATCGTAATGCGCGGGGTAAATTAGAGATAAAGAGAGGAGCAAAAGCAGACAGTGATGCAATGAGGAGGAAGATATGAATTTAAAGAGACAGTCAGAGTAAAATTTTGATTTAAAGCTTTCGTGACTGCAGTAATTCATATTCTTAGTTCTTTACCGAAAGAACTAAGAATAAGACAGTCAGAGTGTTTGTGAGAAGCGGTGTGTCAGGGACGGTTGCATAGTGACCAGGCCAGTGGTTGGTGGAATGATAAAGGGAGATAGAGGAGTAGGGGAAAAGAAAAAAAATGAGCAACATAAAATAGAAACTGCATTGGTAATAAAACACAAAATAAAAAACACGATATACCCAGTAGTGTAGCGGTGCGATAATTCACCCCTTGACCCTGGCGATTTGATTAACTGTCTCAATTTCAGGCCACGATTCAATTCCAAGAATCAATTAAATTTATGTTAACATTGCCATCAATGGTAGCGCATCTAGTGGTCATGTGAACTCAGTACATGCACGTATAAAAAAATCTCACAGGTGCTATTCAATGCATGTCACAGGAGCTCAAGCCTGGACATTAATCGACGCATTGTTAGACCCCCATACAGCACAATATGTAAAAAGTAGCATGCTGCATCACATGAAAAATACATTGTGAATACGTGGAAATCAAAATTACTTCTGAGTAGGCGATATTGTTCTGGCGGCTCCAGACACTGGCTGCGGCAATTTGGTTCACACCACTTGGGCGATGGTCTGTGAAAGCCGATTTCAAAACAGCCACGATGGACTTCGGTGCCCCGACAGTGATCAAAGCGACGTGGTGCGAGCCGCTAGAATGCCACGGTGACCTGGGAGGCAAGCCCACATTAGTGAGAATCTACCATAACATAACGAAGCTGCCATGGCCAATAACTCCCAAACCGTATGTTTGGCATTGAATGCAGAGAGTTCAATCTTTGCATGGGTCGCTCGGAAAGTATGCGCAAGCACTGCGTTACACGTGCTCTTTGGAATGACCTCGTTCTTCAAGAGATGTGAAGCTGCCGTTGGTAAACATGGTATTGCAGCAGCAGCAGCAGCAAAGCTACAGTCAGCGAGGCTTAAGGATGAAATCATTTGGCTTCTCTGGACAGCGAGTGAACGACCAATCGCTTTGCGTGCACGTGCTCCAAATAATTTGAAACTGTGCAGCGGCACAAAAGAGGAGAAAAGCTCAGCGAATGCGATGCATTCATTTAAGACCCTCGCTTCATATTGTTGCCGCCGTGGTGTGAATGCTTAACATTGTCCCACCAACATTATCCATAAGAGGTTTTTGGGTTAAATCGCGCGAATGTGATTGTGCCGTTAAACCCTCCACCACCCGACACAGCCAATGAGTAAGGTTTGTCACGTAAACAAAAACATGGCAATTAGTTGCTAGTTCAGTACACCGATGTGTTGTAGAGTAATTGTAAATGTTGTGGGTTTACTCTTCAACACAACGGCGTGCTGCGAATTGCCAAGTTTTGTTTACGTGACAAACCCTTACTCATTGGCTGTGTCGGGTGGTGGCGGGTTTAACGACACATTTAGGCGATCTAACCGAAAAACCTCTATTGTGGTGTGAACGGTTTGCACGCTGGACTTCCAATCCAGACTTCGCCGGCTTAATTAAACTTTCCGGCACGGCGGTTGAAACGATGGGATAATGTCTTAAATCCCCCACCGCCTCTGTCCAGCAAATACACGGGCTACACACCAGGCGGGGTAAAGTGTTGTCGCTCCCACTTCTTCCAAGCGGTCACGGCAGCATGGAAGAATAGGCCAAATTCCCACTCAAGGGGCTCTCTAGAGCTGCCTCCAGTGGAAGCCCTTCTGCCAGCAGCGGCGTGTGAACTCAATTTTCAAGGCTGTACATGTAATGTTTTCCCTCCCCTGACCTTACTTCAACTGACCTCTGCTACCTCTGCACATCACAGTTTGGCCATGTTGGTCACGGTTTCGCCTGCTTTGGAACTAATGGTGGTTGCGGTGGAAAATGATCAGAGGGGAATGGGTACCTGGGATACCTGGGCAGTGAAAGTGCTGCGGCGATCGCGTGGCAGAGGGAGAGAACCCGTGGCGGGCATAGCCGGGAGAGCTGATGGTGCCGTGACTAGAGGATCGTCGCTCCAGCCTCTCATGCACCTCCACTGGGCCCTAGGGGGGGGAGGTTAAGAGGGCGAGGGTCCAAGGCTGTCACCATAAGAGTGCTGACCCTTCAACGCCGTGCAACGTACACTCTGGCTATCATCCAACTGCCCACCCCCCAGCTGCCTTCCCCTCCAGTTGCCCTCCCCTGCAGCTGCCCTCCCCTGCAGCTGCCCTCCCCTCCAGCTGCTCTCCCCCCAGCTGCCCTCCCCCCAGCTGCCCTCCCCTCCATCTGTCCTTCCCTTCAGCTGCCCTCCTCAACACGGGGGGGGGGGGGTGATCATATTCATATAACAAAAATCATAATTTTAACAAGAAAAAGCACTTGTATGCACGCATAATTACAAGTGACAAGGGTGTTCACAGTTATATTACAAATATTAACCCCCCCGCCCTCCACAAAGGTTCATAACCAAAACTGAAATTTATTTTCAGTTTTTTTTTTATAATCCTATGTGGTGCAATAATGCCACAGGAATTTGGAATTCCTGGTGGGCCCCAAAAGACATTTTTGAAATCCTACAGGATTTACAACGTAAGGGTTATCGTGACATTGATGAATGGTGTTTGGGTGGGATTTTAAATGATCATATTTTATACACAGGGAGCTGGGAATTCCTAATCGAATGAATTGGCAACTCCCAGGTGCCCTTGCAGTGTTAAAAATGCAGTAAAACTATAAAGTCAATCCAATTTGTAGCCCCTTAAACCTGTCACATTGTTTGTTTCCTTCACTGAGACTTAAGACCAAATTTGAGTTGACAAAGCAAATCAAATTAAAATTAGACATCACAAATGCTGAGGATTTTAAAAAGCTCGTGCTCTCGTTCAGCCAGAAACCAGCTGCTCCTGCCAGGCGAGCCAGACGGAGTGAAATAGAGGTGCCAGTGCCAACGTGAATTTGATGCAGCAGAGTCCCTGCACTCGTGCCGTGACAGGTTCGGGGAGGCTGCAAAGGGAAACGAACATGGAAGCATGCATGCACACACCTGCTCTAGCCTCTCCCCAGCATAGCGAGACTCGTACGTGATGAGATCGGGTCGTTCGATCTCGTAAATGGCCTTCACCCGCGGGATGGCTGCAAGGTCCTTATAATCCATCGCCTCATTGTCCACTCGTGCCTGGTTGGTAACCACCCCCCCCCCCCAGATCCACAGATTTGACCGTCACCACCCACCAGTGCCAACACCCCCAACCCAACCGACACCACCACCACCACGACGGCAGAGAACACAACCACCACACACCGCACCCCCACCGGGCAAAGTCGGCAAAGAGATACCAGCACCGGCGTGGACTAAATGTGCCCCCCCCCCACCATCACAGAGTGCCCGGGGGGGGGGGTGTGGGGGGAGGAGAGGCGGCAGGGGATGGAGGGGAAGGAAGGCACACATGAAACAAGGCGACAAACATTGGGTGGTGGGGGGGGGACAACGTTCAGACACACAGCAACGGAGCTAACCTGCAGTTTAGACAACGCTCAAACCGCCAATAAGCCGCACACGTGAAAGCAAACCCGGTGTCCCAAACGACGAGATGCGTACAAAAATGCGTGGTTCGATCAGCAAGCAACCACTACGTGGAGTCATGAACGCGTTTCTCTCGTGTGTCGTTTAAAACACGGGTGCAACTTTGTCGGCATGCTTGCACGACGTCGTATATGCGCACACTTGGAGCACACAGCGATTGTGTGTCAATTGCATCTGGAGCAAAAATATATACGTCTAAACTAAATTTTCCTTTATACACGCGTCAAAACAAGATCAACGCTCGTTATTAATACATACAAATGCGAACAAAACAACAACAACAATAATAACAACAAGAACACAATTGGAAGACAAAACAGTTGGACGATTTTGAAAACGTGTAGCATGGAGTGGCAGGCCAAGGGGACAAACAATGAAGTAGCTAGGCAGGAAGCTAATCGTGTCGGCATATTCACTCTATAACCACAGCAACACTTTACAGCCCCACGAGTCCTAAATGCTACCAAATGTTCCCCCATTCACCGGAAGAGCTGTCTAAATCTGGGGGGAGGTGTTCACTCGGCGAGCCAGGTCAGGCACTGCCGCGCATGCTGCAGGTGGGGCACTCACGTAGAGAGAATGGCTCGGGGAGCCTGAAATGCTGGAGCTGGGCCGGGAAGGAATGCTCTCAGCCGAGACTCGCTGGAGCCGTGGTGCAAGGGAAGGGCAGGCGGTGGAGGAACGGAGGGGCAGGCGGTGGGGTGGGGTGGGTGGAGAGGGTAAGGTGGGGTGGGGTGGGGTGGTTGGAGAGGGTGAGAGTCATGTGGGTGAGGCGTCGATCCAAAACACAGGTTGGTCGCATTAAGAGAACCTTTGCTCTGCCACAGAGAACCACCGCCTTGTGGTCGTGCACAAACCTGGCCAGTGGCACACGCTGGAGACGACAACAACACGGTTCAACATTTTTGCATTGTACGGACGGCGGGGGCGGTGTGCAAATAATTGTGGCGCGCGAGATCATTCCATGCTCCATGCGTCTGCCCGTGTCGGTGGGTGGCATGCGCCCGCCCGCGTGCGTGCGTGCACTCACGCGCTTTCGCTCCTCGGCCCTGGCCGCCTTCTTGCAGTCCGGATGCCACACGGAGGAGCCTGCGCCACCACGGGTAGCCACCGCGGGTAGCCCCCACGTGGCCACAGAGAAACGAGGAGGAGGAGGAGCGAGGTTATTAAATCACGCCGGGCACGATGACCCAGCGGGGGGTTGTTCGCGGACCGCACGGAGTTCTACTGCAGTGGTTCTCAACCCGTGGGGGAAGCGGGGGGGGGGGGGGGGGGGGTTACGTGAACCACGTGGGGTGATTTAGAAATGTGTGAAATTATATCGTACGTGAGAGTCATTGGTCAATAATCATGTGTGAGTCTGCCAATACAAAATAACTACGATACATTTTTAATCAATATGTAGAACAGATTTAAAAGACCTTTCTAAACTCATTAATCATTAACAATGTGGTTTCCAAGAGGAGCCAGCGGGCGCGAACAAATGACGTCACGCGTGCAGAGAGTGCGCTGATGTGCTTTTTTATTCGCTTCAAGTTGCTAGCTGGGCAGGATACCTCACAGAATGGACAATTGGTTAAAATATTGATGTTCATTATTCACGCATTGATTTCTCAGAACCACGTTGGGTTGAAACACAATTCAACAAGGGGTGTGCACAGTAGCCGTTGAGAACCACCGTTGCAAAGCGCAGCCCAAATCTCACGGCGGAGATGTGATGTGGTCAGATGACAGGGGCAGTACAGATTGATTCTTGGATCCAATCGCGAGAGGCTCTTACAGTTCGTTTTCCACGGGAACTTTTAGCTTCTTCCCACTTGCCCAACAAACGCTCATTAGTGGAACATGCCCAAACAAACATTGGCATTGCAAGGCCCTGCCTGAAAAATAAAATCGAGTCTCAATGAGGTTGTCCAGGATAAACAAAGGAGATGTATTATTATTACTACACCGATTTGTTTTTATTGTGTTTCTACAAGGACTCTGAAACATCTAAAATGTTAAAAGCTTGTCATGAAACAGCTGCCTACACAAAGAAACCCAATGTATTACCCTACTCTGATTTTATTTGCATTCCCTGTCTAAACTCTCATGTGCTCAGTTGACCTACATGCCATATATGTAATTAATACAAACATACAGATATATATAAGTAAATGTATTACATAAACTAACTTTGGCTTGCAGAGGGTATATATTACAGTTGCAACCTGTCCTGGTTTTCATAGGGCATCCTATTTTTAAGGTAGCCTCATGGGAAATCTATGGGTCTTCTCAGGACATTAAAAGACCCGGTTGTTGTCAGTTGTGTAACCATGTACCACTTAGCCAAGTAGATATCCCCTCTTCCAGTCTTGTAAGTTATTCTGATATGTCCTAGTTTTTGTTGCGTCAAGTTCTCACCTGGATAAACAAACTTAACTGGAAACCTCAGAGGTAGCAACCCCAATATGTACCGATGAGACATTGATGATAATTTACAAAGACGCCAAGACGTTTTTTTAAAACTCATAACTACAACATGGCCACTTATTGTTTTCATATAATTTGATGTACACTATATATATGTGTGTGTGTGTGCAACGTTTAGCTCCCCCAAAAATTAAATATACAAAACTGGAAATGCTGATGTCAATAGAGAGGGTGCCAGTGAGTGTTTGAGAGAGAGAAGCACGGTACGTTGGCCTTTAACACGTTCAGCATCATTGGTCACGATCATTGCACTGCTGCATTAAGGGCTCTGCAAGCCGCCGCCATTCTCTCGTGACCCCTCGCGACGTGACCACCCACCCCCGGCGCCTGCGCGCTGGGCCGATTTCAACGGTAACAACTCGCCACTAAAATCACGGACGTTCTTGGGCAAGAAACGTCACAGGCCCCCGCCCCCCGTACCTTGCAGGAACATTTCTTCGCCCTCCGAGAAAATGTGGTGACACCTGAAGCATCGCGCACAGCTCGGGTGGTAGCGCTTGTCCCCCGCCTGCGCGAGACAAAGGCGCAAGGCGGTGCCGAGGGTTAGGATCCGCTCGCGACGCCGCTCATCCACCCCGAACTCTGCCCACTCGCTCGCTCGCCCGCCCGCCCGCCCACAGCAGCAGCGAGCGGACGCGGGTCAGTCTGTAACAGCGGTACGACAACACGCGTCCGGCTGTCACGTATGCACGCTGACTGATTAACCGCCTGCACCGAGTGCAGTGTTTGTGCGCGTTGTAGCTTTCGTTTTTGTTGTTGTAGATGGTCGCATATGCGACACCTCTTCACATTATCGCCCTATAACTCAGTCCCCAACGAGTTTGATATGCGACATGGTAGTCTATAAGAAGCTTAACGTGTCTGACTGTGAGTTATTATGACAACCACAGGACTTGGTTGAGTTGATTTCGTTGTAGACTTTTGTGATGGCTGTCTTATGATGAACTAATCGTGACCTATGACCTAGGGAACAAAAAAAAGTGTTCTTACAAATGTCCACCATGCTAACCTCATGGGGGTTTTCGTGTTGGAAACTAAAAATCTCATTAATGTGCAGGATAATTGGAATCATTGCGAATACCAAAGCTATGCTTATTATTAAATATGCCCAATATGTTATTATTTTATATTGCACTTGTCACGTAACCTTTTCAGAAGGGTCCTGCCAAGTTTGCACAGTAGCTGCTGATGATGATGTTGCCATCTGGAAATCCAACTGAGTAATTTGCAGGTCATTTTTTTCAGCATTGGGATGTTTGGCCAATACCAGTAGTTTACAATGTACGTTCTTCAATCTTGGAATACATTTCGATATGCAAAGATAGAAAAAAAACTGCGTGACTTCCCCTTTCTACTGCTTTACTATATTACAAACGAAGGACAATTAATGCGTGCGTGCATATTGTTGTAACTCTTGGCAGTAAGCTTACAGGGTGGGACAGGAAACAAACTACGGCAGAACGAACTATCGGCAGAATGTGCTTCACAAGGACCCTCGAATTGAGAACAAGAGGAGCGCAGAGAGAGAGAGAGAGGCAGACGGATGACAGCAGCCACCCCACGGGCAGCCCGGATAAAGCCACAGATTTCGCCTCTCGGGAGTGGACCGAGTTGCCGGCGATCAATACGGCAGCATAAAAGAGGCCCTCTGTAAAACACGCACAGACGCGCCTTTCTCCGGCGAACGAGGAGGACGGTATCTCCTCTCTGCCGTGGCGGTGTGAGGCGTGGCGTGGGCAATGCGGGAGAGAGGGAGAGAGGGAGAGAGATCGCTCGTGAATATATCACGCAACCAAAATGAAACAAGAACGAGAATAATGGCAGTGGGGGAAAGTGACGGGCACACCGGATTAATGGACCGCAGATCATCGACTTGAGAAGCATTTGAGCACGGGACACAAAATCAAATAAAAGCTACTGGCGACAGCAAAATGCAAGCAGCCTGTGGTCGCTGAGGTTGTTTTTTTCCCCCTTCTTCTCCTCCTCCTCCTCCATCCCCAGCGAGTGTAACTCTACACCATATTCTGCAGCGGGACCTCGCGCACTAATTGTGGCATCTTGAGCACCGGGGGGGGGGGGGGGGGCACGGGCTTCACGTTAATGACCAGTGACCGGCAAGCTCTCAAGAAGCAAGATACCCGATTTAATGAGCCGCCACTTCACGTGGAATGGCCCGGCGGAATGTTGCCTGCAGCGAGACATATGTTGAACATTACCCCATCAAATGAACGCAATTAATTTACATGCCTTAAAATAGAATCAACGGAACCGTAAACATTCATTGATTGCGACCCATGAATGTCGCCCGGTTAATGAACATACACGCGCGGTGCCACTTATGCCTACGCAAACTAATGGATGAAAGAGGGCACGGCGAGCGTGCCCATGGTCTTGCGCGCTCGTGATCGTTCGTGGTTTGCTACGAACACAGTGCAGGACGCTGCTCGCCCGTGAAATATGGAGGTGCAAGACACGAATCTACAAGAACGCAGAAGCGGGTTCACAGCTTGAAACCTAATCTTGGGGAGACGTGGGTGGGTGGGTGGCTAAGACATGAACAGTGCCTGCGCAAAAAAAAATAATTATACATGATCAATTTTCACGTGACTGTCTGATGCTGCTTCGCAAAATTCTGCAGTGCTGATTGTTTGAACAGAGTATGTTTGCAGCAGACGGCACGCTCTTGACAGCGGCTTGGCTGTATAAACAACCCAGTGTAAATATAACACCAGATAATCATTAGCGTTCTTGTCGACAATGTAAATAACAAAACAGACAGGGCAGACTAAATGTCTCCTTCGTGTACCTGTCTCTCCGAAAATAGAACCAAGTTTTTTTCTACGCAATCAAATCGGCTCCACGGCCTGCTGCTGGGGGCAGTCTTAATTCACTACACGTTCGCAGACAGACTCGTGCGCGTGTGGGTCACGGTTAAGGTCAAGAGGTGATCACGAGCAATGCCACTGGCACTCGATCCCCAGAGTTGTTGTAAAGCTGACGCGTGACCTCCAAGGTATGCTCTTGAAGCCTCCCTGCCATCTGCCTTCTGGACGTCGCTTTTGATCGCCCACCCTCTGAGTGCCACTGCGATGCGCTGTCTCGGTCACCTTCCCTCCTCCACCCTCTGTTCCACCCGTCGCAAGCCTCCTCCTCTTCCCCATTGCATTTGCAACGCCTGCTCGCAAGTGCGTCTGTTTATTACTGAAAACACTTACAACAAAAATAAACAAAGCCATTGTAAATAGAGAAAGATTTACGTTTGTGGATGTAAATATAAATTTCTATAATAGAGTCTTTAATGGGCCTTACCTGGTAAACCAGGTAAGGCCCATTAAAGACAAGCAATCATCACTGAGCTATATACAGTAGCTCTTTTTCACACGTAACCTGACCGCAAATGATAGCTAAACGAAGTGGTTTATCGCGTGGAAATGCATAGCAGCCAAATACTCTAAACGCACGTTTATAAATGTGGAGGGAAAAACCGAAGGAGCCAGAGAAAATTCCACGCAACCACTGGGAGAACACGCCAACTCCAAATATACAGCAGGCGTCAAGGATCGGGATTGAACACAGGACCTCCTGTATACCAGGCGAGATAGTTAACATCTCGCCACCGTGGCTACATCAAACACATGGCTGGATATAAGATGAATAAAAAATAACATCAAATAAATATTCAGGTGACACAAGGACACGCTCACGCGCGCACGCAAGTGCAGACACACCGCTAGATTTGATGCTTGAATGGATAAAGCCAGGAGGACTCTAACGTGCGTCTCGCGTCTGACCCCCCGTAACCCCGTCCACGGGGCTTTACAGCTGAGCCTCCCCCTCCCAACTGCATCTCTGTGCCTCCTGGGAACGTCGCGAGAGAGCGACTGGCGCCCAACACAAAGCGCCGCCTCGGCCCAAAGCGTGCGACCTCGCCCGTAAACCGTGGGCAACGAGATGAACAACGCCCCCATTCGTCTGCCACTGCCTACTGTGACCGAATCGTCGGGACGGCATGCGCACGATCACGGCAGATTTCGGATGCTGAAGCAGGCTCGTGCCCGGATAGCCGCTTGGATGGGTGACCAGCATGCAGGAGAGGCTGAGCTCTGTGCAGGGCAGTGCAGCAAAAAAAAAGCCGCTGCTGCACTCGCTGAAATCGTTAACGTAACCGATTCGATGCCACAGATCGTCGAGCACGGTTATTGAATAAAAATGGATACATATGCAAAATATGTCCGTCTTGTTATTCTATGCTCTCGCATCTGCGCACTCCAAGCCTTCACCAAATTGCACTGGCAGGTGCAGTCAAGTATGGTTAAATAACCGCCTCAACAACCCGCACGGCATGGGGAAGCCCTCATTCGGCAGGGGGTGGACACAACAGGGGCTCTACGTGTACCATGAGCATTGAGGTCAACGTGGATTTTTCACAGTCTGGAAATGTTTATATTTTGCGCGAGTGCTCCGAAAATGTGTGAACTCTTTTCTTCGTATTCTTGGTTCTTTCGGTAAAGTAACGTAGAAGGGAAACAATAAAATAATAAAAATAAAAAGCAATAAAATTCTCACGACGTTTCGACTGCAACACAAGCAATCATCACACAAGCAATCATCACACCTGATGATGATTGCTTGTGTGCAGTCGAAACGTCGTGAGAATTTTATTGTTTTATATTTGTATTATTTTATTGTTTCCCTTCTACGTGACTTTACCGAAAGAACCAAGAATATGAATCCCTGCAGTCACGAAAGCTTTAAATAAAAATTATTTTCTTCGTGTTTCTTTAAAACCCTGACGTGCTTGTTTTTTTCATTTTTATTCCTCAGCTCAAAACAATGAATATTCTCATATATATTTTAGACAGGTTAATGCGCAAAAAACGGATTTAATTTATTTGGTTCTTAATGCAACTGCATCTATGAAGCGGTTTACAAAACACGCAGAAATAACAACAACCGTCTTAACACGACAGCAATCGTATTACAAAATAATAAAATGTGGTCTTTGGTTACACGAATAATCCAGTGTAAACACGCAACGTTGGGCCCATCACCACCTTGCCCAGTGAATGGAACCCTTGGCCCAACGTTCCGCATTTTCCGGGAACGCACGTGCACAGTTGATGTAGCATTACTTTTTGTGTGTGTGACAATCTATTGTAGTGCAGAGTTATGATCATGAATGCATAATGGATGGCTACAGTAATAGAGGAGATCAATAAACATGCTTTCAAAAATGTGATACTGTACTCGCAGAAATATGGGCTACGACATTTATGGGAGACTGGTCAATGGGCATAAATGGATTCATGAGATCCATTAGCTTTTAAGGTAATGTGTCCTGCCGTATTGCCTTTACATCGAGTAAGGTACACCCAGATCCTGGCTGTCTGTGACAAAATCACCCGAAGTGCATCCGACCTCGTCAGAACTCGGACGCTGAAGCCGGGTTCAGCATGGAGAACGCTTGGATGCGTGGCCACCGTGTGTAACAGGTGCCATAGGATGGTGTGGGGCTATGCGTTGGGCAGCAGGGTGCAGTGCAGCAACAATGGATTGTTCCTCTGTACGTAGGAACGTCCGCGTCTCCGCGGTCCATCCCGTCACCAACCCCCACCGACCGGCGTGGTGAAGTGAGGTCAAACAGCCCTCCACGACCCCATGCCGCGTGGGCAGGCCCTCATACAGCAGCGGATTGACAAAAATGGCTGTAGGTGTACAACATTTCCCGTCACTAAAACCACGTCTATTCCACGCTCACTATTGCGTCCACCTCGTCGGGACTTTGTATTCACAGTGATCCGCCTTGTGTACAGTGTCCTTGTCTATTTAAGAATGGTTTGGGACCTGCGGTAATTGTGAGGTGGTTATTTGCAATATCGCGCGCTTCATTTTCTTGCAGGGTTATTATTCTTGTGTGACCTTTGTCACCCAGATCTCCCTTGAAAAGGAGAACACACACACGAGGCCGCCTCCTTTCCACGGCCCCATTTCTTCCGATTATCCGCGGGTTATGCGTAAAACGGCCAAGTGCCACATTTTTTTTTAGTCCAACCTCTTTTTGAGTTAAGCCAGCTGTGATTTGGAAGGAAAATAAATTCAACCGAACGAATACCGTTTGCGCGCTGATCGTGGTACGGCCGGTAGATGAGCTGCCGGGTCTGAAATTCTAAACCGTTCTAAATAAATCGTTGAAAAATATATAATGACAATAAATAAGAGATTTTCCGCGCCAGCGATTCAATTCCCTGCCCATTTATCCATCCACTGAACCACCCACAAAGGTCGTTTCCAAGCAATTAGCACGTCTGAGCAAACCGGCGTGAACTACGTGTGTGGTACACAAGCCCGCAGCCTTCCCCCATGCGGCAGTGCAGTCGCAAGGTTACATCTTTGCTCCGTAAATATTTTTATTTTTATTTTTACTGAACAGTATGATGCGTGAACGATCGTGACGATGACTGGTGACTCACTTGCAATCTCACGGCAATGAACATTACCTCAGGCAGCCGGCCACTCACCCCCTCCTCCTGCCTTCATCCTCCCCACACACCCTTCACAGTGGGGAGTGGAAAACCGAACTGAAACTGGCAGTATTCCCATAAGAGCTGAGCGAGTCACGTCGCCGCCATGGTGATTTCGCCCACAGACGAATTCGTATGCAAGCATACAAATGAGTGCCAAACAGTCAACGGTGTGTGTGTTCGTGGGGCGCTTCCGATCTCGTTTTGCAGTCAACCGTCGTGCCGGTCAACCCACCTTGGTTAAGTTTATTCGTTTTTGCCGAACGGAAGCAAAAAGCACTTGAGTGCCCGTTCATTGGAATCTAATACATGTGGTTTTCATCTTCACCATCTCTGCATTTCCCCTATGGCCACGTCAACCAAAGTCCGCCCGATCTTGTCAGATGTCGGAAGCTAAGCATGCGCCGTGACTGGACAGTGCTCACATGGGTGACCTCCATGAACAAACAGGTTGTCACGGGGCGGTAGAGACAAGTGGTGGGTGGCAGACGGCAGTCTGGTGAAATCCATTGCCGTTCTATACTTCTATGCTCCCTACTTTCAAAATCACATGGACCAGCATGGTAAAGCATGGACAGACAATCTCCATGGCCCACAGAGTTTTGAGAGCCCCTCATCTAGCAGTGAATTGAAAAAAGGATGGTACATGTTCCTGTCTACATTTCATTCTCGTGTAAAAGTATATCGGCGCTCTTTCAATCCTCTAGTGGAGCTCTTTATAGGAAAGCATGAGCCAGCGGTGGACACTCCATGTTCTTATAGTGGGGGCAAGGCTCTATCTGCGATAACCGCTGTCGAATTAACAGCAAGTAGTACTGTTACTCGTAAGCCAATGCCAGATAACTGATGTTCTAGGTCAACTCATGACCTAAGAATCATAAGTCTAATATTCTCATCATGGGACCTCCTTTGCCAGTACCAAAATATTATAATAGGTTTTTCCCCTCTTTTATGGCAACAAAACAGGTGTTAAGATGTTAAAGCACCAAACTCAAACCTTTTAATATTCTCATGAGTAAAACATTCCGCGTCAATTTTATGAAAGCATATAATACAAATACACGTCTACATTATATATGTAAAAGTAAAATAATGGACTGGCTTGGAAGTGGTGTACAAGCACAAACCAAAATGCTATAAACCCGGTAACCCGAGCTTGACTCTTAGCCACGGCTAACTTCAGTTGCAAGTCACATATTAACTGGTTCCAAGCAGCCGCCGTTCACCGTCCCACACTGACCAGGTGGTGAAGTGATGGCCAAACAACTCCCATGACAGACACAGTGTGGAGAAGACTTCATCCAGCAGTCGCTGGACAAAGGGCTGTAAATTACCATCATTATTATTTTACTACGACTTTAAATTAATATTATATACGAGGCTAACGTTTCGGGCATAGACCCTTCCGCGGAGTAGGCAGACTGAGCAGAAAGTGGCTGTATACAGTAACGCACTTCACATCATCTAATTTCACCAAAGCGGGAGGGGGGGGGAAAAAAAGTGGAACGTACCGCTCGACCGTTGCACGACGCCACCTTTCAGCCGCGCTGCGTCAGCCGCGGAGCACCGGGCGCTCTTAGCGAGAGCGTCGAGTCAAGTGACGGCAAAAAAAAAACCAGGCCACTCCTTCCACTCGGCCACACTCACCACGGCAACCACCGCGGTTGGAGAGGATGGCGAGCGAAGGGAGGGGGGGGGGCGCGAGCGGGGAAGGGGGGTGCGAGGGGAAACTGGGGTACCAGAACCCTCCGAGGATCGTACCTAACCGTGCGTACGTGCGTATGTGCGTACGTCGCAGACCCGTGGCCAAACAAAAGGCTGTTTTATGGGTAGCTCCCTTTTCGTTAAATTTTTTTCTGTCCAGCGGAACAACGATCACCTTGCCCTGCACCAGGACACACCCTGGATGAAAGGCACGGGTGGGTGGGAGGCGGGAGGACGGAAGGTGCGGGCTGTGGGGGGAGGGGTGGATGTTATAGCCGGGTCAATCTCGGCGTCGTGACGACACAACAATCAGTGCATCGCGCAGCCGGGCAATACCAATTGAACCCAAAAAGGGGATTCTAGAATGTTCCCCCCATCGCCGTCACCGCCGTAAATTATTGCGAATTTTGCGGTGCCATCAATTACGCCGGCAAAGGGGAGGTTCTTTTTATTTGCAATGTTAATTGTAACGTGATTAATTGTCAAGCTCTGCTGCGTAGAATAACGCAGCCATTACGCCAGTCCCGTGGAATGTCGACGTGGTGGTAAGCGGTTAAGGACACGTATGCAATGTGCACATCACAGGGCCACTCCCTGCAGGAGCTATCCCTGGTGCTGAAGGCTCTTTCCATTTGATGCCTGCAATCATTGACCTTCAGGAAGAGAATGCGATTCTAGAGGTTACCCACATTTTCACAATGACGTTTCAACGTTCAAAATGAGCCCATAGTCCCGATCAATTTCATTTGACGTCAATCAATTTAGGACGTAATAGTGATTGCGGTGTATTAATTGTACCTAATAACTATACCCTATTACATTAACAAATGGCATGTGTAATGACGATCAGTTCGAGGATATCACATGGCGCACCAATAACGCTAGATCTGAGTTTCAATTAAAACAGTTAATATAATACGCATGGCCTCAACAATCAATCCCCATCGCAACAGTCTAATGTTGACGATGCACATCACCAATTTAGCAGTGGTCTGTGCAACGGCGGCCACGTCCTTGATTAAATGCGTGAGCATGGGAGAGGCGCTCCCTTGTGTACGCGTACATCTGCGCCATATGCATCCCCGCGGACCCCGTGAACTAGAATAGCCCTTCGTATAGCCCCCCCCAATAAAACCCAGCCGAGGACGCAGCATAAGCAGGCGATTCTGGGCAACCGCCAATGCGTAACGCGCGGCGTTTCCTTATCAGACGGCTCTACGAGGGCAGCCGAGACGAGCTCCAGGGTAGGCCTGTACGGCGTGACGATCTGCTCCCCCCCCCACCCCCCCACCCCCCCCCCCACTTGACCGTGGGCACCTCTTTTGGAACGTTGGAGCGTCGTTTTGCCGTTGTTATTTTTCTACACTCAGGTCATCGTTTATTTGTCCGCAAGCAGCACAGCCGGAGGGGATGGGGGCCCGGCACAGTCCCCGGGATCCCTCGCCGCGTTTCGTTTTTGCAGCTCTGCCGTCGCCGCGGCGGACGCGACGCGCAACTTGCCTCCAGGACTCTGCCGGTGATGTACTTCTCACAGCCGTCGCACAGAACGCCAAACTGGGAGTGGTAGTCCCGCTCGCAATAGGGCATCCCGTCCCTGCAAGAGAGACGGCCCTGAGCTCACCGAGATCAACGGGTACAGTAATTGCCGTCGGGCAACGTATGAATGCACCGGTTCGTCGGTTGAAGTCAATTCTGAAGCTCATAATGCACGCGTAGTGCTGTGCGCATATGGATAAATATAATTTGTTATGAATGCAAGCGACTGAGAGGTGGATTAGAGGACATGTGCTGGTTAAATATATCATTTTGACTGTCATTAAAAGTAAGTCGGCTTGCACAAGACACACCGCTGGACGGGATGATGGACGAAAATAGATACTGTTGGGAGCCCAAAAGAGACAAAGGGCAGAAGCGGACGTCCACTGCGGAGATGGAGCAATGAGATCAGCGCATGTGCTGGGTGGATTACAGCATCATGAGACTATGAAGGATGGCGGGGAGCCTTGGGGAGGCCTTCATACAACAGTGGCTTGACCATGGCTTATGATTATTACCTTTGGGCACGAAACGCAGTACATGACAAACAATACAAACAAGGTGGTAAATATGAGCTAGAAAATGAAAGAAAAAACATTTTATTTGATCATTATCCGTATTTTGAGTCACTCAACAAATCGCTGCGGAAGACGGATCGTTGAATGCTCATTTGTCGTCGTTACAATGCCCCAATATCTCGTGCACACTCGGGATGCTCCTCTTACAAGCACACGTTGCAGGTATCCCATATAAAGAGGTATACGAGTAAAAGGTTGAGTAAAAATTCAAAATGGTATATATTTTTGAAAATCTGTCACTGAAAGGAAAAAATGTCAAGAGATCACCCAAATGGAAATCCTTTAGAGGGAGTGTCACAATTTTACTGGAGAAAATGCATAGGCTTTTAGTTAATATAATACTAATTATGTTAATGGAAGAGAAAGTCGTGGCGACATTGATGGGGGAGGGTCAAGTGTGCTCAGAGTGGGAGGGGATGTCATGAATACATTTCAACTTTTCATTTATTATGAAACTATTTATTTAAAATAAAGAGATCATACATATTTATAGATTCCCTTTTCTCCTGGTTAACTAAAGGATACGGAATTATCCTTATGCCAGCAGTATTACAATGAATGTGAAAATGCAATGGGCACTGGATATGACATGCGGTCATGGTATTGGGTATAGGGAACCATATGGACTTTCAGAATGTATATTAAATGAGGCATAGTGCGTTTCGTCTGTCGGTGCCAAGGCTTGGATCTGCTCAAGCTGGCTGGGTGGCTCTGAAGTTTAATACCGTGTCTGAGCAACAAGCTGGCATGGTGGATATTTTTTGGTCTGAATCTCAGTAGCCACCCGCGATTAAACTTTGTCATCAAATGTAGCGAGTTGATGGCCATATCCAAGTCACTATGCAAACAACTATCACGTTACGAATGTTCGTGGGTTTTAAACCTCATTCAGCTTATTTCAGCTCGTAGAGTTAAAAAAATGCCATCTCGAATCCGCTACATTTTTTTGGGCGGTGTCTTTTACCTCTTCCCATTCCTCGTGTCGTCCAACGCTCGATTAACCTCGGTCGACCCTGCACTGTGCTAGAGACCTGAGCGCCTCGTGGGTGGAGGAAGAGGCCGAGAGGTCGGCCACCAAGGGCGTTGTGCTTGCGTCAGATCGACCGTTAACTGTACGAGGCTCGGGGAGGGGAGAAAGGGGTCCCCCGCTTGAGGGCCTTGCCATGAGGGATCTCGAGGGGCTGTGTCCGAAGGGTGGATGCTGCTACGCCTTTGTTGGGCGTGCGCCTCCCGCATTTGACGTGGGTTTTAGGCGCATTCAGATGCCGTACATACAGTCAACCCTCAATTTCCTGGGGTAGTGGGGGAGTGGAGTCGCCTGGATTAAACAATAACCCAGTTCTTGCATAACACAGGTAAATTAGGCTGCAAATATCCTACTGGTCCCGTTTCCTTTTTTTATAAAATGGGGCTGAAGGCGTAGGATGTGTCATCCACCTTTCATTGGTTCTCAGAGCAATCAACAGGTTTACCTGCCCACGTGTTTAACGTCACCCGGCCGCCGAGTCCCTTGCACCTCGACGGGCGAGGGGAACAGCTGACAAACGAGCACGTGGAGAGATGAGCGCGGTTAATCCGCAAAACCCGGATAATGTACCTTGCGGACCGTCGAGAGTTGCCCGTGCATCCTCACTCTCGCCCACTCACTTGCTGATGTATTCTCCGGTGAGAACCTTGCCGCACGCTCGGCACTTGAAGCAGCCCAGGTGCCAGTGCCGCTCCAGGGCAAGCAGCGCCTGCCCGTTTTTGATGTCTCGTCCACACCCAGCGCAGTCTAAAGTCACACAGTGCAGTGCGACACAAAAGAGGTGGGGGCAAGGGGAATTCGCAGATGCGTCTAAATTCACCCGAATATCTCGGCTACGTGTGTGTACTGTATACACATATATTTAACACCGAGACGTGGAGAGCGCCCACGCATTGGTTAGCACCCAGCGCGATGAGCCCGGTAGCCCGAGTGTTGATTCCTGGACGTTTGCTAGCATCAGTGGCGAGCGATATCGGATCCGATCCTGGGCCTCCCCTTCAACGTTCCGCACTGACCATCGTGGCGAGGGTCACAGAAGCCCCGTGGCCAATGCAGCTTTGGAATACACTTATCCAGCGGTAGACCGCCAAAGGGTTGTATATTCATTTATTCTATTTATTTATATTTGGGATACTTCACCGGGTCTTGAGCCGCTGCTTAAACAAGGTGAGTCATCAGCACTGATGACTTGGGAAAAGGAGATCCAAGCACCAGGGAGAGCAGCAGAGGGGTGACCTCCCTATGCAATAATCATGAATTGAAAAAGTCGATGTATTGAAGGTGATTGGCATTCAGAGACCTCTCGAGTGATTACAGAGCTCAGTATCTATTGAAATGCTTCGTTGTATTATTTGTTTGCACGTTTTATGATTTGTTGAGCTAAACATTTATGATTTGTAAATTAATTCATCACAATACAGCAGCACTTGGGCTCGTATCATAAGCAGCAGGTCAACGGGCCACACTTTTCAACAACAGATGCCTAACGCATTATTGCTAAACAATAACGTAGCAATTAATTTATATATATTTATAGTAGTGCACGCAAACCACATGCCACCAAAACAACGTAACAGCCATCCACGGGCCAATTACGGAACGGACGAAAGTTGGCAGGAGAGGCATACGCTCAACGAGGAAAATGCCTCTCGTTGTAGACAATTACCGAGCAAGGCAAATTAGCGTTTGGAGTTCACCGTCTTTGATGGTGCGCTGCTACGTGAACAGCCAGCGAAGCAGAGCGAGGGGTGGGTGGTGGCGAAGGGGGAGAGGGAGCTGGGGAGGGGAACTGCGGATGAGGTCTTTGCGGGGGGCGGGTGTGTGCGGGGAGCGCGAGCTGGTTTTGTATGCAGCCAAGACATCCTCACCAACGGGTGCTTTCCTACGTGCGCCTCCCTTCGCGACGCTCAAAACAAAAACAACAACAACAACAACAACCCAGCGCAGCCACAATGCACCCGATGAATTAGAACGGAGTGTACTTGGACGTGGGAACTTGCGGAAAGAGCAGTGGCAGTAGCTGGGATGGACGGCCCTGACCGTTGCGGACACCGGGAAGAGCACAAGGATAACCACCCCCCTCCCACCCCCCAATTCCTCCACCGTAGGTTCCACGCCGTGTCGGTTGTTCTCGCGGGAGGCGCGTAAAGACGCATCGATTCGTTCGCCGATCGAAATCGGTTTTCTCCCGCGTTGAATCGCGCGAGTAGCAATCGGTTTCCGTATTTGCGATGTGTGCACGTTTAATGAAATGCTCGGATATTAAAGCATGCAAACAAAAAAAATTGCGAAGGAGACAAAGAAACGACCAAGGGTCAATGCAAACAAGGCGGTAAAGACGAGATGAAAAGAACTGAGCCTTGAACCAGATCGTGACAATTGAATCACTCGGGGAGTGAGCCATTGCAAGCTTTGTTAACATGAACGTGTTGCGTTCTAAATCACCACTTTATTGAGAGGTTTTTGCGAGCGCCAACAGCAAGCGCAGCAAGAGGGCTTTGTGTTAATTTCTGGAAACCCAGCAAGCAAATAAAGTAAAATCAAACTTTACTCACGCAGCACAATTCGCGCATAAAATGCAATGCTATACAAAGTGCGTTACAAGACAATTGAAAAGCGACCGACACAATTTAAACAACAATGAGATCGATGCGTTAAATACGTAACATTATAATGGACTAAAAGCAGGAAAAAACGCATAACAAGCACACAATCAGGGCACCCTAATTAAAAGACAATCAAAAAAGGTTACGTTTTAAGATGTCGTTTAAAAACATTCACTGATCCTAATGCCCTCCGATCCTGCGGCTGGCCATTCCGAAGGCGAGGACCGTGGAAGCTAAAAGCTGTCTGCTCACAAGTTTTAGTCCTGGCCTTTGGCACAACCTCTCCAAATGTATTCTGCTACCGCAGTGACTGCACATGCATTCTGAAACTTATAGAACAGGATTTAGGCCAAAATGAATTTGAGCCTTCTAACTTTCATTGTGTGGCATATTTGCAATTCTGTGCCGTAAAATGTAATTGGTATGTATGCGTGTATGTTGAAGGTCCGCACCGTACATAGCCAACCGTGCTTAATGGAGGTGCGTTCGGTGTGATGACTCATACGACATGGTCACGTGTCATACTGATAGAATCGTGATTTTACTGGTAGGAACGAAGTTGTAAACTGAGTGTACCAGCCTGCAATAGATTAATGCGTCCGTCCGTCCGTCCCCTTTCAATACTTTAACGAAGTGAAATCTCGTGCTGTTGGGTGTAAAAAAACAAATTCCAATGTTCCTACCAGCCCACCCTGCAAGGACCTGTTAAGAAAAGATTGCCCATTCTAAACCCACTGCTGCTTATTTGACTGCACGTTCATGAAAACCGGTTATTTACCCTTTGATTCACTGCGGTGCACCCACTCCCGGACGGACAGAGACGAGCGGATTTGGCCCATTTTTTCGACTGACTGCGATCGAAGGGGTGACCTCTGCATTGTAGTTTCAGTGTAACAACCATTACAGTGCGGAAGTACAGAGGACTGCGCGTGTGTGTGTGTGGCTTTTTTTTGTTTGTTCACGGTCTTATAGACTCCACGATGATTGTTGGCATTTGGCTTCTAAAAAGAGTTGCCTCCTTTGGAGGCCATGTGCAAGCCCTGGTGCGGTGTGACCAGAATGGCACGGAAAAAAACCCCAGCGCTGCGTTGTTGTCGTCGTTGTCAGTGAACTCGCCACTCATGTTAACCATGGCTGGGAACCAAACACAGGTGACCCTCCACCACCCGCCCCACCACTCATAGCCATGGTGAATGAACCACTGCAGTACCGTTGCCCTATCACACACAACAACAGCCGCCATTCGCCACTAAGTGGCGGTGACGTCACCACGACGCTTGTGCCAGGCTATGTGCACCTTGAGGCCGCGTGAAGTTTCGAACGCCCGCTGGCAAGAGGTCACGGGGCAGACTCAGGTGCCATGGGTTGACTGGCTGAGACGACTGGCTGATGCACCGCCTGTGCCCCCTACTGTGCAACTTGCTGTGTTTTAGCCACCCGGGCCCTGCTCGTTGTCGTGAGCGTCGCTCCTCCGCCCTCCGTTGTTGTTGGAGGGCGACTGCCTCCAACTGCCCAATAGCGTCCTTCACGAGCCTCCTCCACAGAGGCCGATCTTGACACCGCTGGTACCAGTCATCAGCAAGTTCACTCAGCTCCACGTCCTCCTGTACCACATCACTCCATCTCTTCTCTAGCCGGTGCGGCGCCCGTTTAGCCCCCTCGATCCGGCCGAACAAAAGCTCTTTAGGCATGCGGTAACTGGGCATGCGTGCTACATGACCCAGCCAACGCAGCCTTGCCTGCCGGAGGACCTCACCGATGGGACTTTGTCCACATCTTTCAAGGATTTGTGAGCTCCTCACACAATCCAGCCTGGTTAAACCCAGGATGGATCGTAGGCAGGCCAGAAGATGTTCCATTAAGGGGGTCCACGTTTCGCAAGCGTAGAGAAGGGAGGGAATGACCATGGCCGAGAAGACAAGAAGCTTTGTGCGGAGTGATAGACCAGGTAGCTTCCACACAGCGTTACGCAATCGATGAAAATATAATGCCGCTCGACTCATTCGGAGTGAGACCTCTGCTGTTAAACCGGAGCCGGTCATGAGCACACTGCCAAGGTATGGGAAACTCTCCACTCTCTCCACAACTGCCCCATCAACGATTGGGAGTTGTGGGGGTGGAGTGTCCGATGGTACAAAATGCCCAGGCAGGTGCTTAGTTTTGGTGGGGCTGATGGTAAGGCCCCATCTCTTAGTGACACGCTCCAGTCCCAGCAGCAGCGTCTCCAACTCCTCCTCTGAGTGAGCAGCAATTACCAGATCATCGGCATACATAACGTGGTTGAGCAATAGGGAGCCATCCCTTGACTGCACCCGGGCATCGATCAGCCTCCCATTGCATCTGTACCAAATGGAAATTCTTCCGGAACAGCTATTTAAGGCTTCACGAACTACGTGCCATTCCCTGCACACCCCAAAGGTGCACATGGAATGGCTCTGACTCCCGGCCACGTAGTTTTACCCGGGGCCGCTCGCCATCATGAAGCTCCTTAATGAGCGTGAGCAGAGGGTCAGGGACTCCGAAAGCACGAAGAACAACCCAGAGCCCAGGTCTACTGATGGTATCATAGGCCTTGACCAGGTCAATAAAGCAGATATGTAGATCTTGTTGGAATTCCCTACACCTCTGCTGTAGCAAACGGACGGAAAATATGGCATCTGTGTTGGACCGCCCTTTCCTGAAACCGCATGTACAACAACAAAAATATCGTGGTAAATGTATATGAGTGGTAAATGTATATGAGTATATAACGAGTGCAGTGAGTTCAGTACATTAGGTCACGTGACCAAATTTAAAAGGAGAAAAAAACCCTAACAGCCCAAACACATTCGTAAGCAGACTCGCACACAAAAGCAAATAAACAAGAGTGCACCCTAAATGCACATGTGGTCCATTCCATCAGCACATTTAGCAAAAAGCTTCCATTGTTATTATTAAACCGGGTACACAGTGTGTGTTCATTGCATCTAAAGCCGTATTTATTATTTATTATTTTCATCATTATCTTGCAAAGGTGGAACGGAGGTTAGCGCACTGCCGCTATGAACCCAACGGTCCGAGTTCAGTTCCCAGACATGAAAAACAGCAAGCGGTGATTGGTATCCGAACCAGTCCACCCCCATCCCACCGACCCCGACCCCA